CATTGATGCTCTCACCACCTGGTCCAAGAAGTGGCAGCTTGCGTTCAACCAGAGCAAGTGTGCGTCCTTGAACGTCGGGGCCAAGAACTCTGGTCACTCCTACTCTATGAACGGTGTCTGCCTCGCCTCCACCTCAGCTGAGAGAGATCTGGGTGTCATCATCGATCCCGAGCTGAAGTTCAGGAGGCAGGCTTCCTCGGCTGTATCAAAGGCTTCACAGATTCTGTCTCTGATCCGGAGGTCATTCTCGAATCTGGACGAGATCACCCTGCCGATTTTGTTCAAGGCATTTGTCAGGCCCCACCTTGAATACGGCAACCTCATATGGGGCCCGTTCAATCGTGCAGACATCAAGCTTGTGGAGCGAGTCCAGCGGCGCGCTACTCGATTAGTGTCCGGCATCAGGAGCAAACCATATACTGAGAGACTGAAATGCCTGAAGCTTCCTTCACTGCTCCACCGAAGACGCCGTGGTGACATGATTGGAATGTACCAGCTGCTGCATAACGAGATCGATATCGACTCGGACAAGTTTGTCAAGCCTGCGTCCACGAGGTCCAACCGTGGCCATCCCTGGAAGCTGTACAAACCACATGCCAAGTCACGAGCCAGAAGACAACTATTCACTATTCGAGCGCTCAACGACTGGAACTCCCTCCCTGCAACAGTTGTCCAGGCCCCATCCCTCAATGCCTTCAAATCCAGACTTGACAAGCATTGGGCCAATCTGATGTACCTGACTCCTACTCACGACTAGAGATGACCACCAGTCACGAGCTCGACGAGAGCGGGACCTACAGGCGAGTTGCCTTTCAAAATTCCCGATAGTGTAAGGTAAGGTAAGGTAAGGTCAACAGAGACTGATACAACTTCCGAGCCAACGAGGGATGCAGCAACATCTACAGCAGAACTACCATCAGAGATCCAGCGACAGCTGGTCATTTCAAGCCTCATTCAGCGTATTGAGGATTTGGAGGCTGAAAATGCAAAGCTTCGAGCTGAAAATGATAAGTTGCGTGGAACTACAGGTTTTTCATACAACCACATCAAAGATAATGAGCCAATGTTTAAATATTACACTGCATTTCCATCAGTGAGGGTTTTCTTGTGGTTCCTCAACCTACTGACCACATGTTGTCCATCTCTGTGCAGCGGGCCTGTAGGTGCCCATGACATGGTCCTGATGACAATGATGAAGCTGAAGCTCGCATTGACGCACCAGGACATCGCATACTGCTTTGGGTTGTCCTTGGCTCGGGTGTCTAGAACTGTGAACCATTGCTTAGGGAGCATGGGCTTTGTGTGTAGGAAAATGATTGTTTGGCCAGACAAGGAAACGGTCATGAGCAATTTGCCGCTGTGCTTCAGACACCCAAAACTGAGGAATGTGAGAGTGGTTTTGGATTGTTTTGAGGTGTTTACTGATCGCCCCAAAAACCTGTCATGTAGAGCCAAGACCTACAGCAACTACAAACACCACAACACATATAAGGTGTTGTTGGGGATTTCTCCTGCAGGTGCTATCACCTTCATATCAGAGTCTTGGGGTGGCAGGGCCTCTGACAAGCATATCAGCTTATGTTCTGAGTTGCTGGACTTGATGGAACAGGGTGATACCATTCTAGCTGATCGTGGGTTCACAATCAAAGAGGAGATGGCTGTGTATGGCGTGCGTGTGATCACCCCTGCCTTTGTAAAAGGTAGACCGCAGATGAGTAGCTCTGATGTCGAGACCTCACGCCTCCTTTCTAGAGCAAGGATTCATGTAGAGATGTAGAGAGAGTGATAGGTCGCATGCGTGGAAACTTCAGGATCTTGAAGATGTCTCTGCCTGTGATCATGTTCCCTCAGGTAGATAACATTGTTGCTGTCTGTGCTGCTGTTACCAACTTACACAAGAACATTGTTACATGAAGCTAATCTGGTTACAGGTACCTACTACTAGTGTTCATGTGGGACGGGTACCAACTCTAGCTTCATGACTGCTTGCCAGTAAGCCCAACAATATGTGCTGTCATTAGTTTTGCTCGCTCATGGTGCCTTGCTACTTTTTGTACCATCAACTCAAGTCATATTTGTTGTCATCTATGTGCTGGAAGTCATTTGTTGCCTGCTTATGGTGCCTTGCTACATTGCGTATATTCAAGCATATTTGTTGTCATGAATGTCAGATGTTGCACGTCTTTCAATACAAGACAAGTCATGAACTTGTGTGTTCACTGATGCACCAGGCCAGTCGGGTTACATGAGTGATGAGTAGTGTTGCTCCCTCCACCTCCACAGTGAAACGGCAAAGACAAAAAGTTTCCACAGACCACAGTACATTTTATTAACAGAAAAGCTGTACCACAATGTTCAACCCAAACTACAATGCACTAGCTTACTAGCTTGACTGTTAACATTGTACATTTTTGCAACAAATCAGCTGCCAACTTAGCCAGTCTCTAGGCCTCTGACAAACATTGCAGCATTGCTATGACATTCCACTGGACAACTGGAGCTTTCAAATTGAGGTAGGTAAAGCTCACTAGTCAGTACATGGTCCTGTCCAGTGTCCTACGACACCAGATGTGGCATGACTTCTGTGACATAAAACTTTTCCAGCTTCTGGCACATATCATAAATCTGACTCTCATCCCGCTGGATGCACAGTATATGTGGCTCCTGACCTGGGACGTACACACAGAAGAACACACACTGCATTCCAGTCACCATCATCTGCCCCTGTAGCTGATACATATACTTGTGGTCATCCTTCAGCATGAGGTTTTCGTCCAAGAAGGACGCTTCTTGGGGAACACCGTTTCTCACACTGAAGGGGCACTTCACCTCCAACAGAGTCTCCCCACAGCAGTCGCATGACAAGATGCCATCTGGGGAAGCTGCCAGGTATGGTGCTTTACTACATACCCACAGCCCTGACCTTCTCACCTTCAGACCTGTGTGCACGAGTTTGATGGTCTCGAGGGCTGCTTCCACTGCTGCATCTTCATGTCTGATGCCCCACTGCACAGCCTCTGTGCGCAACAGTTTTGGAGGGCAGATCACCTTGTCGACAAGCGAACTGCTTTTGCGACCACCTCTCACATGGTGCACCACCTCACCAAACACTGAGGCAGTCAGCCGACCATGTCTGTGGCCTTTCCATACTGCTGACTGACTCTGAGCCACTGTTGCAGCCTCTAGGTTCCTTAGCAGGTGATCTGGGTACATCTTCGGCAGCTTCGACAGGAACTGCAGGCAATACTCTGGTGAAAGAGTTTTACCCTGCTCCATTTGCCTTTTCAGTGTGACCATGGCCTTGTGGAGAGGATATGGCAGCTCTCCGTCTTGCTTTTTTGGGAGAGCATCACTTTGAAAAGATGACGCCAGAGCACAGTCATGAAACTCCAGCAATTTCATGAGCTCTTGCTGAACGATCGTGTCAGCTTGCGGATTCCTTTGCACTGCTGGAGGCATGTTGAGCCCAGCTTCATTGCTGACTGAGGCCATTGTGCTCGGTTCAACCTTCTTCTTGAATTGGCAGTTCCATTCACAGGCCTTGCTGGTGCAGCTCTTTTCCGTTAGGCCCATCATCACTGCAGTTTGCATCTTGAACAAAGTGCCAGCGACATGACTGCACACTTCACCAAGGCCAGCTTTGCACAAGCAATGTGCAGCCTTCACAGTCCCATCATCGCTGCAGAGCACCCAAGTCAGATACTTCACACTGGCCTTCTGGCTAGCCCGCACTTCGCATCTGATAAACTTCAGATTGGGCCCAGGTCTGAACACCTCCAACTTCCCCACGTGCCCAGACTTGAACAAGTCCCAGGAAGCTAGAGACTTGTATGCCTTCAGGTTCTCTGATGTAAAGCTGCCCTCTGAGTTAATGAGATAGACATATATGTCTGGAAACGTGACTTTGGGAAGCAGACAAAGGTCGGCTTTCCAGTCGCCATCAGGCACGCTAAGGGGATCCGGAAGACGAACCCCGTCACATATTAACTTCTTCTGGTACCTTTGGATATCTAACTGATCCATATCGACCACAGCAAGAGCAAAATATTTCGCAAAAGTCTTCCTCAGGTACACGTACGAAAAAACACACGAAACTCAGACGCACTAACACAGAACCACGCAACGGAACCACGCTTCGCCGTTGGGTGGCCGATGATTTTTGCCATCCAACAGCTGACTGCGAAAGAGCCCTCAGGCTGATGACGTCACAGTCGGCCCATACGCAAGGCGTCTATACATATTATTTGGTGACTATTCTCAGGACCAGTGAGTTATTAACACATTTTTTACATGATTCGTATCTTATTCACGAACCAGCAAGCCATAGTGGATAGGAAAAAGTAGATGTTGATCTCGCTTCCTCAGTTAGGAAGATGGCCTAATCTGTACTTGTTAATCTATGTTTTGACCATCTATATTTTAAACATTTGGCTGGTGCCTGCAACATTTTAGGAGAATATGGAAAAGTAGAACAACTTTGAAATGTAAGTAAATGTGATTACTGCTCACTGTCCAGTCTTCAAAAACACATTTCAGTAATTCAAGTCCTTTTTGTCCTCACCTTTTTGATGAATGTAATAGTTTTTTTTTGTAGGCAATACTTCTTTGATTACAGGTGATATTTTAACAGTTATAGACTGGAATTGAGTTTCAAAATTGTGGGTATTTGTGGGGCCAACTCAGCCAAAATCAGCCTGCTGGTATTTGTGGTTGGACAATGGATGGCTGTTGGGTGGGAGGGGTACTGAAACTGCCAAAATGTGGCATCTCTTGCAGGGGTAAGCTAGAATCAAGAATGCAGGTTTTTTTAGTATGCCGGTAATTTGGCGTTTTTTTTGCTTGGGGCGTGGTAGCATGCCGGTATCCCAGAAAATTTTTGTGGGGCGGGGCGGTGCCGGTAGCAGCCTTTTGGGAAAACTTTGCAACTCTAATCGTAATGTATGTAGTCGCCAGTACGATGACCGCCGGCTGGGTGGGCGCGGAAGGGTTTCGGTACCGACCTTGCGGGCTTTGGTGATCCACACTGTGGTGGAGAGTGTAGCGAGTCCAGTCAGTGCCAGATAGCCGCCCGGCGAGAGCACGAACGCTCCGAGCGCGGCCGTCGCGAGCTGCGAGCCGACCAGCACGGCCACCTCGCGGGGCACCAGCAGACGGGCCCGCTCCACAGCCGACAGACGGCCTGGCCGGTACACGAACAGAGTCACAAACATAGTACATAAATGACACGCAAACAGCGTCACAAACACATAAACGGCACACAAACAGCGTCGCAACACATCGGCACGCAAACAGCATCAGTGGTGGAGAATTGTGCCGAGTTGGGGTAGAACGAGGTTTCCCAATTCGACGCCAGCTTAGTTTTGGGGCCGCACCAGACGGCGGAGGTCAAGGTCACCGCTAGGGCAGCGGCGGATCTGCTGCGCCCGTGCAACCCCATCTCGGCAAAAGTATCCACCCTAAACAGCATCAAACATTATAGCACACAAACAGTCACAAACATAGCACGTCAACGTTACACACACACACACACACACACACACACACACACACACACATCAGCACAACTGAGCACGCGTCAAACACGCCCATCCCAAACACACATCTTCAGGCGCACACGCACCGTCGCGCGCGCACACACACGTCGCACATCGACATAACTGAGAGCACAAACGACCAGTCGACGACAGACAGTGACACCCATACACCGCGAGTGCCCGGGAATAGACCTAACTACCAAAATCAAGTCGCTAAGGCGTTCATGTCCTGACTGGCGTACTGACCAACGAATATATGATTGGTGAACTGACCCGGCCTGAGGGCACAATTTCCTAACCGCCAGCGTCGGGTCACCAGCGCTCACCAATATCGGTCGGTAAGAGCAGCTGACTGTACACGGTACAGGGGCTGACCCACGCTCACCAATATTGTTGGGCAGCAGCAGCTGCCAGTACAGATAGCCGGTGACGAGGATCTGGCCGGCGGCGGCCGCTGAGGCGGCCAGACAGTCCAGGGTCGGGCCGGGCAGCCAGCCGCCGGCCGAGACCAGCGCCGAGCCGGCCACCGACGCCGTCAGGGGTAGCGTCGGACGCACGGTGGGCATCCGACTGCCGGCCAGCACACCGACAAACGCCACCACAAACGTGTCTGCAGGGGACGGGGCGGGACGTCACAGACGGGTGCGGCACGGCGCAGCGCCAGGAGGGCCACTCAGACACAGCTGGAGTGGTCAATAACTGACAGGGAGCCGATACATCCAGCTCGCTGTCAAACTACAGAAAACTCACTGGTGGTGAAGCATATCTGTAAGAATCTTGGTGAAGCAGCACTCATGTTGAAAAGGGGTTAGTGCTATGAAATGTGGATAACTCACTGGTGTTTAGGCCGGCAAAGGCTGGTGCCAAAGATAACCCACTGGTGTTGAGGCAATGTTGGTTACTGTCACGGATAACTCACTGATTGGTGTCATGAATAACTCGCTGGTGACGAAGCAGAGGCTGGTGCTAGGAATAACTGGTGAAGCAGGGGCTGGTGCTATAGAGAATAACTCACTGGCAGTGAAGCACGGGTTGGTGTCATGCACACAGTATAACTCACTGGCAGTGAAGCACGGGTTGTTGCCCGGGCAGAGTCCGCTCACGGCCGACTGCGCTCCGTATACAACCAGCAGCCACTCCAGACCGGGCGCCGGCCAGACGATCCCGCGCTCCAGCTGAAACGGCAGAGGGTAAATGAGAACTGCAATACAGCGAGGTATGGGACTGTGAGACGTATCGGGGTGCGGAGTTTGATATAGCGGGTATTGGTTGTGGTATAGGGCTGTGTAACAGCGCCAGACAGACGATTCCCTCCGCCCACCAGCTGTCAGAAGACTGGGTGGTTACTGGTTAGGGGCTGTGATACAGCATGGTTGGAGTGTGTGACGTATGGGTGAAGGGGGATACAAATATAGACATACCTAGTCCTACTATTCGGGTAATGTGGCTGTGACTCATCGGAGATGGGCTACCACATATTGTAGAAAGGAGCTGTGGGCTATTGGCAATGATAAATCGAGTATATGGCTGTAAATATATCGGCCACGGTCCCCCAACATAGCTGAATAAGATGCTACAACATCCCGAATTTGTATTGCAGTCGTGGTGAGTAAATAGGTAGTAATATAGAGTTTGGCGAAGTCTACCCACCAGTTCTCCTCCCCTAAAGTCGCCCCCTGACTGACCAGCTGTGTGTCGGAGGCGTGGCGGACCCACGAGTTGCGCAGGAACCAGATGCAGGCTGCGTAGCTGGCGGTCGGCAGCAGGCTGACCAGGCCGCCCACGCTGGGCAGCCCGCTCGCCATGACCGTGTAGGTGGCAGAAGTGGGGCACGCGCCCGCATCACCAGCCATGTAAGCCTGAGGAACACACGACAAACGGGAATTACTGAATGGATCGTACGGTTGAAACGGACCAGTCGCGCCGACGAATATAATTAAACCATTGACAGTTACCTAGACGATATCCACACTGCAAAATAAATCAATATTTTAATGTAGACAGACTGGCTTAGAATATGGATGACTCCACAATACCGATGGTCATGTTATCCACAAGCCCAAAAACGGCTACAGACCAGCAGTTCCGTGCATCTCACGTGTCCTCCCATCCCTCCAGACCCTCCTCTCAGGCCCCGCTCGGACCCCGGGCCCAGCTCGGCAGCGCACCTTCAGAGATGTGGCCGAAAAGTAGGTCGATGTGGCGAGCACGGCCACTGCGAACCCGAACAGGGTGGGCGCGGAGACGTGTCGGGCGACCGCCAGCGGTCCGGCCAGGCCGCCGGGCGAGCGGCTGACCAGCAGCGCGCCAGAGGCGTCCGATCCAGAGCGGCGGACCACGGCCGAGCTACCCGGCTCAGTGGGCTCCGGCAGCAGCGACACACTGTCAACGGGAGGGGGAGGGGAAGTCAGACGGGGAAGGGTTTGTTTGTTGATTAAGGTCAGAGAGGAACGGGAGGCACGGGACCGACAGGTCAGGTATCACTCCGGCAGCAGCGACACACTGCCAACGGGAGGGGGAGGGGAAGTCAGACGGGGAAGGGGAGGCACGGGACCGACAGGCCAGCTTCATTACCTCCAGCACTGCCGTGCAAAGGCAAAACCTTCTATGTGAGGTCAGACTCTGACCTCACATTGTAGTTTTTGCCTTTGCACGGCAGAGCAGCAGCGACACACTGCCAACGGGAGGGGGAGGAGCAGTCAGCGAGAAAGGGGAGGCACGGGACGGACACTGGACAGGTCAGGTATCACTCCGGCAGCAGCGACACGCAGCCAATTGGACGGGGGAGGGGCAGTCAGCGAGGAAGGGGAGGCACGGGACCGACAGGTCAGGTATCACTCCGGCAGCAGCGACACACTGTCAACGGGAGGGGGAGGGGAAGTCAGACGGGGAAGGGTTTGTTTGTTGATTAGGGTCAGAGAGGAACGGGAGGCACGGGACCGACAGGTCAGGTATCACTCCGGCAGCAGCGACACACTGCCAACGGGAGGGGGAGGGGAAGTCAGACGGGGAAGGGGAGGCACGGGACCGACAGGCCAGCTTCATTACCTCCAGCAGCAGCGACACACTGCCAACGGGAGGGGGAGGAGCAGTCAGCGAGAAAGGGGAGGCACGGGACGGACACTGGACAGGTCAGGTATCACTCCGGCAGCAGCGACACGCAGCCAATTGGACGGGGGAGGGGCAGTCAGCGAGGAAGGGGAGGCACGGGACCGACAGGTCAGGTATCACTCCGGCAGCAGCGACACACTGCCAACGGGAGGGAGAGGAGCAGTCAGACGGGGAAGGGGAGATACGGGACGGACAGGCCAGCTTCATTACCTCCAGCAGCAGCGACACATCGCCAACAGAACGGGGAGAGCGGGCCGTATCATATCACAGATCACACGGCTGCAGCGGGGGAGAGGAGACACGGGACGTAGGACATATTACACCATAGATCACACGCCTGCACCAGGGAAGGACAGAAACGGGACCTGACAAATCAACTGCTTCCCATTCCCTCCAACACACATTCTGCACGCGACAGTGAGTCGTTACCGCCGCCCCCCGTCCACCGACCTGGTCTCTGCGTCCTCCGCTGCCGCGGGCGCAGACGGCGGCGCCGGCCGGCCGCCCACGCCCAGCTGTGCCGCCAGTCGCTCCTTCTCGGCTCCCTGCTCTGCCCGCTCCTCCTCCTCGTCCTCTGCCTCGACGGCGGCCACCTCGCGGCGCTGCTCCTCGCTCAGGTCCGGGTACGAGCCGACACTGACGCCGCTTGGCGTCTGGCCCGACACCACGGCCGCCAGCTGGCGCTTCTCCGAGCTGATGTCCGGGTAGCGGGCCTCCGAGATGACCGACATGGCAGCCGGGCCGGAGCCGGCGCCGGGCGCAGAGCCGGAGCTGGAGCCGGAGGCCGGCGCGGGCAGAGCCTTCTTGCCGGACTCGGAGCCGAGCAGACGCGGCACGAGGCGCGGCAGGCGCGGCGTCTCCGGTAGCTCGCTGATGGTGGCACCGCCGCCGTCCGAGGTCCAGTCTCTCAGCCACCTCCTGGACACGGCGCAGGGGATCGTCAGAATTACAGTGGAACGGCCGGAGTGTGCAGGAGAGAAGTACGGTAGTATTTTTCTCTGAGGGTTGGAAAAATCGGTACATCTTCCAGGGTATAAGGAAATAAAGTACACTTGATGAAGCACACACACCTGCTATTTTGCGTCTCTTTCATCGAATTATCAGTACCAGCTCAAGAAACTAGGGAAAATACAGGACCAAGTCTTCAACTACTCCCATCACTTTGAGGCACGAACAATCACATGAGAAACGATCCAAACCGGCCTGTCTCTGTCTACAACCTTGCGGGCCACCCAGGATATGACCACCGGAGGGTTACAAAACGCCCCCCCCCCCCCCCAACTTACTTGGTCACAACCGAGCGCACCAGCCAGAAGACGATGGCCGGCACGATGATCGCCAGTGCCACTGGAGGCAGCAGCACCACCGGCAAGACATCACTGTCCTCATGCTCGTCCAGGGTGAGCATCGCGCGCAGCAGGCCGCCAGCTCCGGACGTGACGGCGGCGGGCAGGCCGCAGTTCTCTGGCGCGGCCCACTCGGTCCGCAGAAACGCCCGACCGGCGTGAAAGGCATTCTGACGGGGGACGGCGCCGGTCACATAGCGGCGGGGGAGCAGCGCCGGGCGGGGGAGCAACGCCAGCGTGCCACCAGCAGAGGAGGGCGTGAAGGAAATGTGTGAGAGACGGTGAGAGGAAGGGGGGGGGGGGAGACGACGCGACCGAGAAGCGATATAAAAGATGATATGAGAGACACATGAGAGATGATGCGAGCGAGAGACGATGGGATGGCGAGAGGGACGATTGGCCGGCTCTACACACACTACCAAGAGGGATATATACTCTATTTTCAGCAATAATGCATAATCACTGTCACCACACACATGAGTTAGGAAGTGTATACCGTATATTCTACCGTATATACCGTATATTAGTTAACAATAATAACGGCAAGAGGTCTGGTGAGCCCTCCCAGCCCAGCCGAGCTCACCGACCGTAGCATAACGCCTCAAACTCACCGCTACTGGCAGGTAGTCGCCACTGCTGAGGTACTTGTGGCTGACGGCGTCCTTGAGACGGCCCGCCAGCGCCTGACACTGCCCACAGTTAGCACACTGTTATAGTCCCGTAGCAGTCAAAACTTACAACATGGCGCTGTCGACATAGTCCATAGTAACGTCCACAGTCGACATAGTTACGACGTAGCCCCGTAGCAGTCAGAACTTACAACAACAAGTCGCTGCCGTCACAACGATGCTGCCCGCAGTCCCGTTCATAGCGCAGCGGTTACAATAGCATTCCCGATGGCGGATTGTCATCAAGGCATACCAATGTGCATTTTCATGAGCAGGTAAGGACTGTCGGTGAAAAACACTGCCAACAGTCGGATATGTTTCATAATAGCCAGCCAGATTCACAGATACAGACGTCCCAACAGCTGTTGACTACTCGTACAGAAAGAACTGAGGCATAGTCAATGCGAGCTCATTTACTACTTTACTTATAGAAACATGCTACATTTAATTGCAATACAAACGCCTGTCCGACACTCGGGCATCTCATGAGCACGTCCTCACCCTCCCCAGTTCGCGTGCAGCGGCCACTCACCATCTTCTGGAAGATGGAGGCGCGCATACAGGTGTCGGGTGGGGCATTGACCTGCAGCCCCACCGGTGTCTCGTAGTCGGGAAAGGTCAGCTCACGCACGCTCGACTGGTTCCGGGCCAGCTCTACCTGCCTGGGCTCGTCCAGACTGCGTACACAGTACGCCGCAGTGAGTACCAAACGTGTTGATACACATGTAATTAATACAATTAATACAAATTAATACAAACTGAGGAGTCGAGGACTCAAAGTGCATTCTACAAAAAGGCTGTTCTGGCAGCATATACATTACTTCAACGCAGCATGTCACGTCTTAAAGTAAGCATCTGTACTGTTTAAAATATGACCTTAACTTAATATAACTGACCCCGACTATTGATATATTTCGTGTCGCTTCCTTCATCCATCTACCCATCAACTAATCGTCCAGTGACCCCGCTGTGCCCACCTCAGACTAGACATCTCACACACAGAGACCCTAGACTGACCTCATTAGAGTAAAGGATCGCTAGTTCAGCTCGCTGATCTTTCACTTTTAACAGTCAGTACCCCGCTATACGCCACGTGTGCCCAGCCCTCACGCCCCCCCCGCCTCCCCTATCCCCCCGCCGTCCCCACCCGGCTGACCTTAGCTCGGTGTCGGGCTGGTACAGCCGGCCGCTGAAACCCACAGGCCGCCGAGAGGAGGTGGACACCGTCACATCCAGCCACTGCCCGCGCAGCTGGCTGGGGCACAGCTGCACGTGCTCGCGGCCACCGCTGGCGCGAGCACCGGAGTTGTCAGCATTTCAGATATCGACACACAAATACACCTACGAGGGGCGTTCAAAAAATTCCGGGCACGACCAGGAGCGAGCAGAGATAAGGCATCGACTTATTAGACCAAGAATGTTTATTCATTCAAATAACCACCGTCACGACAAACACATTTCGCGCAGCGCTTCGCGAGAGCCCTCAGGGCCTACATAACCAAGTGGGTTTTGAAACCATCCGGCGCGCTCAAGACGGCTCTTTCGTCTCCCTGCTGTCAGCGTAGTTGCGACTGCTAAGCAATTATGTTGGGGAAGAGGTGGTAACCAGAGGAAGCAAGGTTCGGAATGGATAGATGCAGATACGTCTACATATGTGAGGCAGAGCACAGTACTCACAGAAGATCGGTACAGAACTTGAGCATTGAACACAAGGGAAGCATCATGCATAAACAAGCGGTATTACACAAAAAATGTGAACAAGAAATGAGTGACAGAGAAATGGACGAGAGGAGAAAAAGAGAAGTAGAAGAACAGAGATAGGTTACATGTAGTTATATATGGACAGAAACAGGAGAGGAAAAAGAGTGGGAGGGAGGTACACGCAGAAGTAGGTAGGCAGGGGCCAAGAGAACAAGGAAGAGGAGCAGTACCAATTACAGCTGAAGTCTAGAAAATAGAGTTACTTACTTGGGAGATGTGATGCGAATAAGTTTCGCCTCTGGCGTCACCATAAGGAGGGCGTACACCGTTCCGTTGCTGGCTACTTCGAACGTTAGAGGCCCGCTCTGAAAATCAAAACAACGGTATCTGAACCCTGCTCAAAGATTGGATTGACTCATCGCAGAAAAATCTGTCAGCTGGACACCCATATCACTGTCTTTCTAATCAGCTGGAAAACAAATGACAAAATTAACTGCAGCGCATAGCGTGACAATATCGAAACTGAGTTCCTGAGACCACTGGGCAATGGGCATGGTAGGGGATCATTAGATCACGGCATTTGGTCAGCGTTCTCAGGACTGACAAGGTAAGAGTGATCCAGCCACCGATCTTTAAGATCTGAAGTCGCTGACTGACAGGGAGCCAGACTTCAGTTTGGACCACTGAATGACAGGGCCGTCGGACTCCGTGGAGCTCAGTCCTGCTACTGATTCAAACCCCATCTAAAAGTAAGAAAATTTTCCCATAGAAGACGTCTTATATCCTCTCATATAACCGCCATTGGCGAATGTGACACTTTCACAAGGAGCTGTGTCGATTAAAGGCCAAAGAGCTCATCATTCTAAGAAATGTCTGTAAAGATGTCTGGAATATTCATGGTGCTCAGTTGGAGCAACATGTCAAACTAGTAAATATCCAATTCTACCGATGAACTGGTAAACCGACTTATCACGAACAGTTCATTTTATGAATGCATGCATAAACAGACACTGAAGCCATATAGCCTCGTTACTAATGCGCCCTAAAACACCAAAATCAGACACTGAATATCTATGAGACGCCACACAGTGTCGGAGCGCCCGTGTTCAGCCGGCGGTAGGGCAGGCCGCTCGGACGGCGGGCGGTGGACGGCTCACCTGCAACCGGTCCGGCTCGGCGTGGAACCGCAGTGTCTGTGGCTCCAGCTCCGACACCTCGCCCGTCAGCCGCTCCTCGAGCGGCGCCCGGCCGGCGTCCGGCGTCACAGCCACGTCCCGCTGCGGTGCCGACACCGTCGGCTGGCCCGTCTCCCCGTTGGTGCCGACATAGTTGTAGACGTTCACACTCGGGTTACCGCTGTTGGAGAGCGAAAAGGACTGGCTCGAGCCGTCCGCACTGGACGACACTGAGTTGCTGGCGCCGCCTGGTGCGGGTTGCGCGCCGACTGCCGCGCCGCGCTGCCGCACGGGCGTACCGCTGGCGCCGGACACGCCTGGCCGACTGCGGGACGCGCCCACCCTGGGTGACGACGGCAGAGCCACCTTGGCCGGGCCGAAGGCGCCGGCCGGTGCACGCGTCTCGGCCAGAGTCGTCAGCCAGCCGTCGATCTCCGCCGGCCGCCCGCGCCGCGTCTCCACCTTCATCAGCTTGCCATTCACATTGTTGCTGTTTAACTTCACAAACAGATATTTTGGTAGGCTTTCGGTCTGCAACAAAATATAATCCATGTTAAGTCACACGTGAAGACTTCCCACGTTCCATCAGCATTAACAAAGAAAATACCGAGCAGGTTGATCAACAACGAATGTCTAATTTTAAAGCAAGTTTGTAGAAAATTTTGAGGCTTTGCAGCGTGAGTGAACATCATTTGCGTCAAATTCATCGAAATTGACACTTTTTTACCATCCGACTCAGTTTGACTAGCCGCATAGGAGCAAAAACACCCATACCACTAGATGCTAGAAATCGCTAAAGTGCTATTACATGTCACAGACTCACAGCCGACAGAGGTTTTTCGCTTCTTTTGCCAAAACGTTAAAAAACAGCACTAAGGATGGTCTGGCTGAGAACACTTGATTTATTGTGATTTAAGGTTGGTCACGATACTTGTCCCCTAATCAACTACTCCAAACGAGGCACGTGTCAAACAAAAGCCAAATGAACAGTGCAATCCACGTTGGGCGTTTTTACGCCCCCCCCCCCCTCCTCCCCCAGGTTTTCGCAAATATCTATAAAAAAGCGGCGGCGCGCAGCGCCACCGTTTTTGTACACCTGTTCATAAATCGCTTCCACACATGTTGTGAAAATTTTCAGATCCAGGTCATTAAAGGTCAGGTCAAGTGACCATACCTCAGCAAAAGTTCAAAGGCTCGCTATAGCTACACCGACTGAACGATCACTTTGAAACTTTCAGCGATTGATGAGAATAACAATATGTATAAAACGTATATCTCAGATTTTTTATAAGTGTGACCTAACCCTCGCCCGTATTAGTGTTTTTCCAGCCGCGAACGTATAAGGGGGGGGGGGGTCCGTTGGACCCCCCCTTGCCGTTTCGCCCCTGATCGAGCTAGAGCTTCGCGGAAAAAACGAGCGTGTTGTCCGTGACGAGAGGAAGCCGATGATACCCAATTTTAAGGTCCTAGGTCATCGAATGACCTTCCAGGTCAGGTCAATGACCCAAAAGTCGGGAAAATCGGAAACTGTTAGAAAGTCGTAAAGCGTGGCTGCTATGAGGTTTTTCGGGGTGCTGATCACGAATATCATCTTAGTTTTGATCACAGATGATGTCTTCATGCATTTAGGCCGGGTCGGGTCAGGTCAGGTCAGGTCAACCAGTAAGAGTATTCGTAGTAGGTGGCATACGCCTCTGACAGCTTCGTAACATGTTACGAAGGTGCCAAAACTACTTCGTAAATGTTCATATGGTTGCTTAATTCGAATTCAGCTCCAAAAACTGGCCTAGAAACATGTAAAACTCGAAAAAGTGAACCGAGGTCATCAAAGGTCAGTGACCTGACCTGACCTTCCGGTGACCTTGACACCCACCCTAATGCATGGGAGCAACATCATATCCCATGTTTGAACGCTTAAAACCACGAAAAGACTGCAAACGCGCGGCTAATGCGAGCCGACATACGCCGAATCGCGATTCCGGCCAAACATGGTCTCGAAAAATAGGTCACAGGTTAAAGGTCATTAGGGTCAGGGTCATGAAAATTTCAGGGTAGGTGTAAAATTGATTAACGCGAGGGTACTGAAAGTTTCGTCGCGATCGGCCGCTTTTTACGCGAGTTATTCGCGAAAAAAAACCGAGGGGGGTCCGTTCGACCCCCCCCCCCATACGGGCGAGGGCTAAGATCCGATCAATTTTGCGACCTCTCCATTATAAGTCAATGAGAGAAAATTGAAATGCGCCTCTTTTGGACAAATGATGTTCAAAACCCTCTCAAACACCGGTTCATGGGTAAACACTAAACATGACACACTGAATCGGAAAAATGCACCTGTGACCCCTCTGTGTGCCCCTGAGGTCATCTCAGGTCATGGACGGTAATCAGCAGTTTTTTTCTATAACTTTTAATAGAGACATAATGGGGCGAAGAAAACACGTCAGATGTGTTCAGCTCGACGATACGGATCGACTGATATGCAGCATGACCCTTTCCGGTAGGGTCATGACCTTGACCTGAGGTCAAGTTTTCAAAATGACGTTTCAAGGTCGTTTTGAATATAGTTCCGTATCGTTCAGGCGTCTCGATGAGAAAAACACGATGCTCCCAAATGTAATGTTGTGCAAAAACATGCCTCCAGCATTTATGTACGTACTTACTACACAGAGCACAATAAAATGCAAGAATGGAGAGGTGACGGCGGAAAACAACATCGGCACATATACTCACGTCGGGTTTAAAAGATACAGTGCCATTGAAGGTCTTGCAGTCTGGAGAGCGTGCTGACAACGTCGCTTCATCGGGGCACTGAAAGAGTGTGATTTCTATTTCAGAATTTAATATTCATTTCATTCCACATTCTAACCATCCAAAATCCATTCATATCTACAAAAAAAAAATCGATCGCCGAACGATCTTCAGCACCGATAGACGTTTCATAATGCACACAAAACACAACAAAACAAACGTAATGGTATGACATCTACAATCGAATTGATACTGCAAAAAAAAAGATAACGAAATGGCATCAGCTATTTCGCAGAAATTTACGAACCATAGGTCCTTTTAACTCCCAAGTTGCTAAGACTTCGTCACCTTCACATCATACGACATCATCACCTTCAGCAGTGCGATCTAACAGTGGAGGAGAGTCTATCATCTACCCTGCACCTATCCTGTTCCCAGCACGGCCCAGGCCGTCCACACCGCCATCGTCGGCTTACCGAGTGGGCCACGCACGCCACGGCCGGCAGCACGTCCAGACTGGTGATACCGACGGCGGCGGCCGACCCGGAGCCGCTCCACGTCAGGCGCCGGTACTGCCAGTCGGCAGAGCGCACCTTCCACACCGCGGTGGAGTTCGAGCTGCGCGCCCACAGGGGCGTCAGAGGACCGAGCGGAGGGAGAAGGAAGGGCCAGTGGGAGGGGAGATGAGGGAAGTGAGGGGTGTAGAGTGTGAGAAAGCAAAGATGGGTGGCCAATACCTGAAGAGGTGTGAGTCAAGCATATCAAGCAGGCATATGAGGACATTGGGGATAGCCCACCTGCTATTCAAAAATGCTGTTAGGGGTGAAATATATTGAAAGGATTCCTCCCTGCAAGCGCTCATTGATCCCCGTACAATTTACAAATAACAATAATATTTGCTAGTCCAAGCATTTGTAGAGTATTTGACCGTCAATAATTCTTTTTGGACGCCATTTAATTGCGTCCCAGAAAAGCTATTTCTGGCACCTAAAAGCTGACTCGCCCCAAAATTGGTCCTCAGCACCTATTTGGTGGATACCAGCACCAATCATGGAAAATGGCCTTAATTAGCTGTTTCTGGCACCTATTCATCGGTACGCCTTACTCTTTTTTCTGAATCTGGCACCTAAATGCTGAGCGTAGCACCAATCTAGTAGAAAAATGAACTACTGGCTGGTAGAATCATGTTGTTCTGGTATAATGACCCCTGGAGTCTAGCCTAAAGGTTGCCAGTGCAGCTACACTCTAAGACAGCCCCGTAGTGATCTCAGCATTGTATATGACGTTTAAGTAAGCAAATAATATTGATTTGTTTGAAAAAACAATGTCATTTAAATATTTAAAAGTATTTATTTGTTATGCTTAAAGGGAAACATTTTTGTGAGTAATTGTCTCGATTTTGACCATTAAAACGGGTATTGTATTTTTTGACGTCATCAAATAGCTCCAAAAAAGAAATGTAATGTTTTCATTCCGTTCAAGGCCGCTGAAGAAACGCGGGATCTTGCGTGGGACATTGTCCGTTGTTTGCCGCGCAGAGTTGTGCCGTGGTTGTGCCTTTTTCATCCGTTTCTTACTTATGTGTGCATGAAGCTTTGATTTTGTTTTTGGTTATTGTGTGGCTGGTCAGTCAAACGCCCCTGTAGAAACCGGACGCTGCGTTTGATCGAGATGGAGTCAGACGATGATTGTAGAAAGCCAGAAAGCTAATAATATTGAAAAGAGGGCCGGTTGCGTGGCATGTCTGTTCAGAGTTGACATTTTGCTTTTACTCCAGTTTATGACCTGAGAGCCTGGCTGGAAGTGACGGATCCAAACTTTTCACGTTAACCCTCGCCCTGGCAGGGGGGGGGGGTCGATGCGACCCCCCCCCCCTAAGGTTTTTCGAAGATAGCGTAAAAACGGCGGCGGGCAGCGCCGCCAAATTTGGTACAGCCTATGGGGCAACCTTTTTACATATGACCTGAAAATTTCAGGTCCGGGTGACCTTGGGTCAGGTCACCAGGTCAGAAAAACCGGTACAAGGTCATGGTCAAATTTCAATTTTCTTTATGCACCTGTCCAACTCACAGTTTTGAAGCGATTTCCTTCAAACTTTCAGGATGTGCTAAGTTCACCAAGTTGTATAACATATATTCCGGTTTTTTGGATGTCACTGACCTAAGGTCAGTTAGAGGTCATCACGTCATAATGTTAAGCCTATGGGAAAATACTAAATTCGGAAAATACTGGAGATATCCGCTTCGTTCTATCACTTTTGTGCTTTGAAACCACAGTTCTTAACAGCAGGTCACTTGGTGCTTCTTTGTTTGGTGTACTTATCCATGGGTCAGGTCAAATGAGGTCAACTGAGGTCAAATGACGTTTTTGCCAATAACTTGGCACATAATGACGCTAGAGCTTAAAAAATGGTATCATTGTGCTCCTGGTGATCAGCCGAATCGAATGATATGCGATATGATGCAATTTGGTTAACTTGAACTTAACTAATTAAATAAAGTTTACTTAAAATTTAAGAAAAACTTTAAGTACACTTAAACAAGCTAAAAGTATATCATTCGACGCGCCTTGACGTGCTGAGTTCGCTGGTGCTTTTCTTTTTGCTTTATCTCAATTAGATCAAAAGTTATAAGCGAAAAACTTTTGACCTGTTTTTAGCGAAATTTTTACATTTATACCCCCCAAAACCCCCCTAAATATCGACCTAGAGCAACCAAATTTGCACAGGGGCGAGAACTCCAGGGGGCCCACCTACCTACCAAATTTGGTGTTTCTAGGTGCCATAGGAGCCAATCGCGAGGGGGGGGTCGCATCGACCCCCCCCCCCCTGCCAGGCCGTGTTATGAAAAATGCCCTGCCAGGGCGAGGGTTAAAATGGCTGAGGGTGCAATAATCTCTACATAGCGGGCTGGTATAGGAGCGTCTTGCTATGCTGCACCATAGCTGGCTAGTGATTCTCTTTTGGCTAGAAATGGCATTAATCATTATCTCCACTGGCGAAAATGGCACTTGACATCACCGAATGCAAAGTTCATGTTTGTTAGGATACATAAAATCAGGAAGATTACGCGAATTAGGTAGGCAAACGTGGAATAAAATAGGTGCTGGATGTTTTGGTTTTGGTGCTGAATCAGCAAACAGCAAATACGGAGTTCAACTAGACGATCTGGCAACTTTAGGCTGTGTGGAAGCAATTAGGTGCCAGATTCAGATATTAGGGTCGAATAAGCATTTTGGGGCTGATCAGCAATTATGTGCCAGAAACAGCTTTTTAGGGACCAGAAACAAATATTCCCCATTCTTTTTTCGGATTTCAACATGCATAAAACAATCCAGTTTACTAGCTTGTTATTCAATTATTTCGCGCTAAAAAAGTCAAATGAACAAGCACAATGATTGTAATCTAGTTACACACAAGAAAAATGATTTTCACAGGAAAAACACACATAATATACGCATTACAATTTACAGATCTCTCCACCTATCAATCCGTTCGATATTTTAACACCAATCTGAACAAAAAAAAAAAAAGGCGGCAGAATCATCTCAGGACATGAGACTGATGAACAACGACTTACCGGATGTCCGTCCAACCAGTTCGTAACGAAACAGCTGTCCCCGTATTACTGTCGCCTGCTGATTTCCAGTTGATCTTTATTTCAAGAGTATTCACACCAGCAGAGCCACATATCGTCCACTTCAGACCCGGAGCCTTCATAGCACTGGAAAGGAGGAAAACCATTGAGCGACAGACCCAGCTTGAAAGGTATCACGACGAGTGTGGCGGCCAAGAACTAGGAGGTAGAGGAAAGGATAAATGGGAGGGGTGGAACAAAAATGGTGACAAATTTTATGGGTCAAAACTGAAAGTATAGAAACCATCCTTCCCGCCAGAAGAAGAAGAGAACCAGAAACCGCGACCTGGTAGGGGGGGGCTATTTTTTGTCCCCCCCCCCCTCATATCTTCGAAACTACTGGACGGATCCGCAAAATTCAAACGGCGTTCGAATGGCCTGTCCAATTTGTCCATTGAAACCAAATTTCATTGACTTCGGGGTCACCGATGACGTCACAGGTCAGGTCAAAGATGAAATGTTTCACCGTTCACGGGTCTTCTAGGGAATGCGCTATAACACCGAGGAAAACGCATTTTGTCGAGAATCAGCGATAGGGCGTCAGTTTCCTGGTACATATGTTGCTATTAGAGGTCACTGACAATACCAGGTCAGGTCACAGGTCAGGTCACCAAGGGTCAGCACATGAACCCAACTTTACTAAGGTTGTGCGATGCATGTTTTATGGACAATTTTTCATTTCCAACTCAATGGTGTTGTATATAAGACCATCAGGTACGGCTTAGGTCACTTTCTGGTGGAGGTCAGGTCAAGGTCAGGTCAAAAAGGTCAAATTTTAAAGTTGATAGTTTTGCATAAAATGGATATTGATTCTGAATGGATGATGATTTTTCGGCTATTATATTTAAAAAAGAATTATTTTTTTTGATTTTGAGGGATCAGAATCCAAAAATTTCAAAAATCCGAGATAGCAGTTTTGTAGGCCTGTCAATTCTACAGCTTTCATGTCTTTATCATTTTTCTGTATTTGCAAAGCTATAGGCCTGACAGCTCTTCCCGCGAAACCCTTTTTTGGGTCGAAAACGGCAGAACATGACGTCACTCTGACGTCATTTCCGGCCAACCTATCATAGCCTTTGGAAATTTTGGTCACAATGTGTAAAATTGATGTCCGGGAGGGTTCTGAAAGTTTGGTGACGATCGGCGCAGCGGTTCTGGAGATATATCGAAAAGTCTGGAGGGGGGCAAAAAATAGCCCCTCCCCACCAGGGCGCGGGTTAAGCAGTTGGAAAACGTGGTCAAAGCGTCCGAAAAGTGGTACAAAGGGCTGACAGTGCCTCAATTTAAGTCAAATGCTGCAAAGGGCAGTTATCTTCAGATCAGAGCTTGAGAAATGATCCGAGTGCCTAATTGAGGCCATTCATCCCCGAACTCAGGGCACTATGAGCTATAGGCCTGGACGAAGCCAGGTTTCCCCACGAAGATAGCCCAAAAGTCTGGCGATGCGAGATGGGAGAAGTCTGATAGTGTGGGTTGCTATGAGCATTGCGGGCCCGAACGAGCGCAAGGGGCAAACGAACACAACACCGCTCCAATATTTTAAACTTAAACAACAATATAGTGATAAAACTTCGCTCTCCAGTCCACACTGACTGGCCCAACTGTTCTCCTCCCCGCCTCACACCAGCCACACACGACTCACACACCTGGCGGGAGGTGGATACAGAGGCTCGCGTGTGTGACCGTCCAGCTTCAATTGCACATTGTCCACCAGCCTTGTGGATAGCCCCGTCAGGTCCAGGGTCAGGTCACGATCGCCTTTCGGAGGCTCCTGAGGTCAATCGACAGAAAACACACGTTAGACGCACGACCGCGACCGGGAATCTTGTGACACACAATGCAAATTGCACAATGCGCATACAAGCAAGAAAGAAAACAACTGTCGATAAAAGATCAAAATAAAGTCAGTGCTATATGAATGTGTTACCTCTGTCTCTGAGAGCTAATTGGCTTGGCATAGGCTTCGTTAACTCCTCAAACCAGAAAAATACTCTTACGAGTGTGTATGTAATGTAGCTTTTCAGAGGCTTTACGGTAAACAAGTTTTCTACAATATGCTAAAATTTAATGATATGATTAGACCGAGGAGGAAGCATCAGTCGAGGATGGCACATCAATTGCGATATATTAGGGACTAGGGAGCTCATATTACCGACCGGCCCATTCATAATCACACACGTCACCTTAGTATACGTATACATACACGACACACCGTAGCCGTAAGTATCGAGCCCAACTGTTGATTACGTGTGCAACTGTGCAGTCAGAAACAAGTAACCCGTCTGAAAGAGCGATGGGAAGGAGGGAGGGAGGGGAAAGGAGGGTATAAGTAAAGTAATTATGGGGAGGGGGGAGGGAGAGAGGGAGGGAGGGAGGGAGGGGAGGGGAGGGAGAGGGGGGAGGGAGGGAGGCAGAGAGAGGGATAAGAGGGAAAGAGGACGAACACTTATGCATGTATGGGCGAGTGTATGAGTAACTTTAGGCGAGAGATTTGGCAACTGAATAGCTAGCAACCACTCATTCACGAAGACACTGAGAGAGAATCAGTAAGTGAAGTGACATCAGCGCGGTCACGGCACTCCGCCCGTGCCTTCCGCCGGTGCTGCAACCACCCGCAATTCGGAGCACTGCCATGTTGAAGGATAGGTACCGGCGCGCGCCGCGGCACATGGCGGCGTGGGCCGGCCGCCGCCGCGTGCCGATAAAGGTCACCCCTGAGCCGGCAGTAGCTGACCAGGCAGGGGGTGCGCGGTGCGCGCTCGGCGGGAGCGGTGGCCCAGGCCCCAGCTCACCAGCCACCGCGCCGGCACACAACGGCACTGCGCGCTCCTCGTAGGCACGGAGGCTCTGCAGAGGCACGGGGTCTCTGCGGAGGGACGTCGGGTGTGGAAACCCAGGAGGCGGGAACAGGGGCGGGGGCGACGAGAACCTATCTAAAACCACGTAACAGACGACACGCCAACGCACGGCATGCAATGGACTGCATCATGCACATTGCACACAATATCAAGGTTCATTTTCCCACGAATATGATAGGCACATTACTTACTACCGTGTCCGAAATCACAGCGTAGTATTGTAGCTTAATTTTCCGTGTTCTGATTACGAGCGTGATCTTTGAATGAATCCATTCATACCACTGATTGCAGCTCCGTGCAACGGAAGCTGACACGTGTACTCGTGTAATGTGTATGTACCGTCTGACGTGGATAGAAAGCGGGCGCCGCAGCGTCTGGGTAGCTTCCGGAGTGAGAAACGATCGGGAGAGGGAGAAGGAAAGGGAGGAGAGAGAGAGTGAAAGAGGGATTGAGAGAAAGAGAGAGAGAGAGAGAGAGAGAGAGAGAGAGAGAGAGAGAGAGAGAGAGAGAGGAGGGAGAGGGAGAGGGAGAGAGAGAGAGAGGGGGGTGGAAGAGAGGTAGAGGAGAGGAAAAGGGAGAGAAGATGAGGAGGAAGGAGTGATGAGAAACCGCTAGGCTTTATCGTGACTGTGAGATAAATATGATAGGAAAATGTGTGACTCGAACTCTAACTCTCAAGTCTACATCCTTTAGTCTACCCACATTCAGATCACGGCCAGCAGTTGTGAACACTCTATGTAGATCGCAGCTTCCTTCGTAGTTTGTCAGAAGGCGTCGCCGTGCATTCCTGCATATGGGCCGGCTGTGGTCCACTAGGCCGGCCGCGGGCGGCCTTCCACCGCTGTACCGGCCGGGGAAGGGTGTGCCGAGCAGCCGACGTCGCGGCCTGACGTCACGGCCGGCGCCGGTCACGGCCCCTCCGCCGTGACGCCGGCGAGAGGGGGGAGAGGGAGAGGGAGAGGGAGGGAGGGAAGGGCTGGCGCAGGTGCTGCGCAGGCGCGCCGCGCGACCACGGCTGACGAAAGGCTCCGGCGGGCGGCCGTCACCGTTCCGTGAGCCGGCAGACGGGCGCCGCGAACCGCCATGGAACCGAACTCCGGCTGACGGCCGGGCCAGCCGACACCGCTGCGCCCACCGGTCCCCGCCGGCCAGGCGCCAGCTGTCTGCACCACGTGGTCACTGTGCACACAGCCACTATCAGTGCACAGAGTGCACACTTAGCGCAGTGACATCATCGATAGAGGTGCCCGGAACACTGCGACACGTGTGCCGGCGGCGATAAGGTTCGGCCACCTACCTACAAATAGTCCTTCAGACACAATGGCGCACCCAAGGACGTATATAGGGGCGCACTGGAGTAGAGTGCCACACACCCCGACCAGTGAAGTGTGAACTGATTCTGCGACAAAAACGAAAGGCAACAACGGATGGCATTGCTTGGCATTCGTTATTTCTTTTCGTGTTAAATTGCATAGAATCACATGCTTGACCTACGAACTCCCAAATATTTCTGACACTTCTCGATATCCCGTCATTGCACTGTCACTGAGCCAGTCGTGTAACTAAACCGTGACTAAACCTATGTGACTGTGAGCTGTGAAAGCTGGAATGCCGCCCCTGCTGTACGAGTGCACGGTATTTACAACTGTGGACCCCAGTCCCCTCCCATCGACCGCGCTTTCGTCCCGGGCCCCCTGAGCGGCCCGCCGAGCGGCGCTGCGCAGAGGTGCCACACCTGCAGTTGTGCTATCGCCGCCGACGCGCAGATTTCGTCATCGTTCGAGGAACCGGGGGAGTCCCTGGTCCGTCGGTGGCCGGCGCTCCGCCCTGGACGGGGGGGGGGGTGGAGGACAGATGGAGACGCCATGCCTCGGGCCGCCCGACATGGAGCAGGTGACCGCTGATGGTGAATTCAATGGGATGTTTAAAAATAATAATGCACACTGGGATTGCAAATGACAACTGATAAGCAGAGATAGTTAAAACTGAAAGTTTGGCCACCACGTACGAAATGACCGGTATGCACCTTTTTGAGTGACAAACAAGCTAACGCAATAGTGAGCCCTCAGTGTACGAACGTGCAAAGTGAGACACCAACTGATCTTTCATTTAGGTCTCGAACGGCGCACCGGCTTTGAGTATGCATAATCTGTCCAGCCTTTCTTGTCGTGTAGTTGGAAACGGTCCAGCACGTTTTGCTTAAAAAAAGAGTGGTAGATCCAAGTCGAAGCATGGTAACTTAAGAAAGGCGGGTTTATCTGCTGTCGATGCCGGTTTGGGCAGTGGACACTGGGCACTGGGCTGAACGGCACAGCACAGCAATAACCGCCGTCTGCATAAAACGACCCAAAGGGTCCCGGGTCCCAACAGAGGGTGGCATCGATGGAATTCCCTCGAGCACATATACCATTATCGTGACGAATGCCTGCGAGCGCGCTATCAACGACACGAGAGTGCAGCCAAGTACCTAATCTTTGAACTCTTGTGTGCTTAAGCGACAAGCCAATCGTAGTAAAGGCCGTAATCGCTATGCATTATGCAACCTGATAATGTGTATCGCTCACGAATGTGCAATACAATACAAGGCCATTCATCAGTCTGGCAACATGATTTTAAAAGCGCGATGATAAAGCATAGTTAGGTATTTAATGCTTATCAGGCTCGATAGGAGTGGCAGTTGTACACACAGCTCAGTGTCAACTGGTTATGGTAAATTATTTCCAATCCAATGCTCTATAATGATTAATGGACAGATTGACGAGCTCCAACTCGAGGGCATCACAAGCTGTAAACGCCCCTGGCTTCCATTGTCCGGTTGGGAGATTCAGGATCGTCAACGAACTAGTTGAGACCGAAGATAGGCGTGCCATTCAAAGCCGGATATGGTCCGCCCCAAGGCGTCCGCCCCACTCGACTGACTCCAACTGGCCGCTGAGCTGCTCCCACTGCTATCACAGACCATCCGCGTTGCTCGTCGTGAACTCTGGAGACTCGTATATCGAGCGCCGGAGCGACTCGAGCCCGGGCTCTAGCCGCAGGGAGTCCGACACTTCAATCTGAGCCACGGGACAGAACAGACACCAGATGTAAATGCAATGCCATGGTGGGCACGATCTGCCAATTTAATAAAACCTTTGCTGATTGCCAGAATGATATTCGATCTGATTTAGGAGGCTGGGATTAGTGAGAAGCGATAAGTGACTTCAAAAAGAGAAGAGAAGAAGGGAAGAAAATAGGTAAGAAGAACAAAGCAGATTCCATGTTTTTTTCAGTGCCACCATAGGCTATACTCGGCATCATAATCTACCCCTTGACACCTTCGCTGCAACCAGTCGATGTATCAGCTAACGCAAGCTACATTCCAGATTACCTTCCAGTTCATTTGGTTCATCCGGCACATACCACGGCTCAGCTAGAAATGCAAACAACTCCGCCGTTCGATCATGTTGCAGGCAGCTTCTATTTAGCTGACATGACCTTTCTTCTTGTCTTGCAGCAGTAAGACAGCCCCATCCCCATCCCAAAATACATCCAACAGACATACTCAGATCCGCGCTGCCCACTACACTTGGAGCGCACACCCAGCCAGTGTATGCGCTGACCCGCGCTATCGCGGGCGGTACTGACGCCGCTATTACGTCACAGTGTGAGAGCAGCAGGTCAAGTGAAAGATGCGCTATTGCATGAATCCCCCAAACGGAAGGATGTGCACATTGTGCAGAACGTTCTAGTGGGCCCACGGGCGGGGGTTGAGAATGTCAGTGACAGTCACGTCAAAAGTGAAAAGGGAATGTTGAATATCAGAAAATGTACCGCCATTGGCGATTGCTATGCCACTTCCTTTCATGTTATCTGAATGCTTAATCATAACTCATGTAAATATAAGTTCGCACTAAGGCACTTAGCCTCCCAAGTGTGGATAACTTTGCAGATATCCATCCATAGGAGAAATAGAGGAGATATGTATATATCCATAGGAGAAACACAAATCAATCACACCTCAATTGATTGAATTGATCATGATTGTAGTTTGAGGGGTGACACAATTTCGGTCAAAATGAGCAATACCTCACCATGACCTCGTCAAGGTGCTGTGTGGATATTAATTGGCAGGTACTTACCAGTTTTATCGTTTTCCAATTTCCATCATTGACATCCCACTTTAGAGAATCACCGTTTGCTGTCGGCGTTACGAAAACGAAGCACAGAAGTGCCAGAGTCAGATTGCTCAATCGACACCGGTTCCTGGCATGAGCTGCCATGATCGGCATCGTCATCACCTGCAAAAGGGACAGACAAGTTGTCACTAACCACAAACAAGCCCAGTACTCAGTAGAGACCAATGGGTCAAAATCATCCGCTCAAATCTCAAAGAGAGGTGGAAGGGGTAGCCACCAGACTGAGGAATGGAAGAGACCTACTGTAAACATGAAAGAGATCAAACACCAAGACCGGATTAGGAGTCTCGCAGACGGCATAGATCCTACGTGACGCCACGTAGAATCTTCGTCGCCCGTGCGACGCCAAACGGCATTTTGGGCTGTGAGTTGTGACGGCGAAGAATCTTTGTGACCTTACAAATAATGTTCACGGGGGCCTAAAATGCCGCCCGATGTCGCATGTACGGCGAAGATTCTACGCGACGACACGTAGAATCTTTGCCGTCCACCAGACTCCTAAATACGAGAAGAGGCTGAGAAGACGCTGATGTGACGGAGCACGTGCTGCTCCGCTGCTCGCGGCTCTCGCTGACTCCCCCCAGCCTCGAACACACGGCTTCGCCGAATGCCGATTTTTGTGGCCCCGGGCCCCGGAACTTCTAGCTCCGGTCTTGTTTTACCGCAGGACACTACAGTGCGCTAAGTGTATTGTGACATTGGGTTTGGGTTTCCGTGGAAATAAAAAGCTTATTCGGACGCTCAAACATCGGAGAGCGTCCAAGGCCCTGGAACGCTCTTGTCTGATTGATATAGCCTTGATCGCTAGATGCAGGGTTTCGGAGTTGGAGTTGGAGTCGGAGTCGGAGTCGGAGTCGCCCGGAGTCGTGGCAAGCAGCCAGGAGGTCGGAGTCGGAGCCGGTCCAGCTGCCTCGACTCCGACTCCGGAAAGTTCACTGAAGTCTAAAATCCGTGGTATCACTTTTCAGTTGTTATTACCTAACCAGTTGCCCCACGGCAAAATTCGCTTCCGGTGATCACAAATAAGTTATTTTTTCACACATCTTGTTTTTGTTCTGAAAAGCTAACAATGCATCTTACAAATTTCAAGTTACGTCAAAATTTAGTAGGCAAGCATTTTAAATTCGCGTTATAACTTCTTCTATCCAGTGTCAAAGGCTTAATGACAACTGTATATTTACTTTCTTCTTTTATCGCTCCAAAAAGTGCCTAACACAAACACAGACCAACAATAGGGCCTTGGACCAACATGATGGCGATGCCCGTGGTCATGGATACGGCCAAGATTCTTACAGATACGGCCACACTCATGCTTCTCGGCGGGTTTTCGAGCTGGCCCCGCCGGCCGCTGGTCAGGATTCAGCTGCGCCTGCGTCCACGTGGGAGAAATGGTGACCGCATGAACAAAACCGGAGCCAGGGTATACCGGAGCAATCTCCCGGTGCGCGTAAACCTAACATGGTGCGTCATATCACGTGGAATTTTGGCAGCCACCATAGCCCTTTGTATCAGACCCGGAGTCCGAGTCTGAGTCGGAAGTGCACTACCACGACTCCGAAACCCTGGCTATGTGTGCACAATCCACAAGTGTTTTATGTAAAAGTGGTTTAATTTTGGCATAAATAGGCATCTAATGTTTGGCGCAAATCATGCAGAAATTTCAGCGCAAAATCGCTTTCACCGAATTTCGGCCCAAGAGGGTCTCACGGGCATCCAAAACATATGGGTGCCGATGTAAAGGTGAAACCCCGAACAATCAACAAACCATCTGCACCTGCATCCGGCATAGTGTAATGTGTATGGATGTTTTCCAATCTGGCCCATGCCTTTGCAATGTGTTACATTGCAAAGGCCTAAAGCCATGGAAATTGGAAATGTAGTTCAATATCTGTAAGAATCTTGGATCAAGATTGAGATAGGCTTATAATACAAGCAAATCTCTATGGCTTGTTCTTAGGTGTTGTTTTTATCCGCTGGGACTGAGAGCGTGAGATATTTTTCGTACTCCAGCGTAGATGGGTAGCCATACGGCTTCCACGGTAGACAGTGATGACATCAGTCATCTTTTGCAAGCTCGTTAAAGAATTTGGGCTGTACGGGGACAGCTGGGCTGTCCCCGTACAGCCCAAATTCAGCCCAAATTCAAAAAAACGGGGACAGCTGGGCTGTCCCCGTACAGCCCAAATTCTTTAACGAGCTTGCAAAAGATGACTGATGTCATCACTGTCTACCGTGGAAGCCGTATGGCTACCCATCTACGCTGGAGTACGAAAAATATCATCTCACTCTATGGCTTGTATAGCATTTGGTAGGATACTCACGTGCCGAACTCCAAAGGGCAGATGTAGAACCTCAACTTGAAAAATACCGGCTCAACTTGAAACTTGAACTTAAACTTGAAAAATATCGACTTAATGATTATGATAGCTTCAAATGTACCTACATGGCGAAATAAAGCTTCCTAGAGTTGTTGTTGTTGTTGTTGTTGAAGAGTTAGGGCGCGCAGCAGCTTGGCTCAAGCGTCCAACTTCCAAGTTGGTATATCCTCTTGTAGTCTTCAGAGTTGCAGTTGGCGTATGGTTGTGGTACTAAGCGGAACTAAGCAGGTTTCCGGGTAGGGATGAGGAATGACTTGGGAGAGGAAAAATTGCGATGGTTAGGAGATAGCCTTGGTAGGATATGGCCTGGGCGAGGAGAGAACAGAGAAGTTAATGTTAGTTGTGAATACTACAATGCTACTTACAGTCTTAGCTACTTGGGGATAGCCAAACAGCTCGGTAAGCAGGAAGAGCAATACAGCTCATTCTTCAAGGGGGCAAAAGGCGCTCTGGGAGAAGGCATGGTTCTATCTAGAATGAAAAAAGAAAAAAAGACACAAAACTTGGGTCTTGACATGGGGGTTACACGATACTTAGGGATTTCACTTCACAGTATGGGGGTGACATAGAAACACATAACATACCCAACCAATTTCAGACATTTCAGACAGGTGTTCATACAACGTGACCATGGATGAAGTGTTGCTAAACCATGAGTGCATGAGCTCGAGTAGTAATCCACTCTTTTTAACTAGAAATAACTAATCCATGGTTCTTGGATTCAACATAACATGAAGGATTGTGTCGAGCTTGTCTGAAGCCATAGCACATATGGAAACAAAATACATTTCATTATCATCACTTAGCACCCATAACGCCTCTACGTCCTTTGTTCAGAGTTTGTCGTATAAGTTGCACTGTCGAAGATAATCGAACACTGCATCCACCACCGTGGGTTCACCGTTTCCCAAGAGAATCCCCAGCGACATGCGGACGCCGACATCTCGACACGCCGCTGCGAGTCTCCTCCTCGCTACAGTGTACTTTCGGCATTCTAACAGTATGTGTTGAACATCTTGGCGACATTGACACAGGTCACAGACAATAGGCGGTAGTTGGTCAATAACATGCGAGTGAGTTAAAATAGTGTGTCCGAGTCTCATCCTACACAAAACCACTTCCTCCTTTCGACTGGCACGTACACTAGAATTCCAATGTCCTATATCTGTCTTAATCTGCTTCAGTAGAGTTGGACGATAATCTAACCACAGATTTTCAAATAACACACGGACGCGACTCTTCACCAGTGGCACAAATTCCCGATGTCCTATTTTTACATCAGTCACATTAGGTTTATCATGAGCCTTTCCCGCCCAGTAGTCAGCTCTGACATTACCAGCTATGCCACTATGTCCTGGAACCCAGACAACGATGCAATCGATGCCATCTCGTACATTTTTATGATTTATCTCTAGGATCTCCACCAAGACCGGATGATCACGGCTCTGCACTGTGAGAGCCTTGATAACCGCTTGGGAGTCACAGCATATGAGCGCTTTGGGTACTTGGTTACGTCGCACAAACTTCATCGCTTCTCTTACAGCTACCAGTTCAGCGGTATACACAGATAACCCATCACGCAGCTTATGGGAGAAATAGGCACTGTTCACTGTGAAAGCACATGCTACTGAGTTGTTCCGCTTGGATCCGTCAGTGTACATTTTCCTATGGTCCGGGGCCCTGTTCAAGTGCTCTGCGGCCGCCGCGGCTCCCGCGGCCGGGAGGCGGAGCCTAATTTCGGTTAGGTTGAACACCCTCGCGGCTGCGGCCGCTGCGGCCGGCGACGAGAATGGCACGGTTGTTTTGAATGGAGATGCTGATCAAAATTTTGTGCGTAATTGCTTTATAATGGCTTTATTACTTCAATTAGTACCTTTTTGAAGCAATTCAATGAATCAACCGAAATCAATGAAGCAATGAATTATTCCTTAACAACATAATAAAATCAACCGAAACAAAGAGCGAAATCCGCAATGTTTTGTCTCACGCGCGCAGTTTATGTCGAAGTTTCCCTGCGGTCGCTCCCGAGCGACCGCGGGAGCCGCAGGAAGAGCTACGCATTACCCAGAATGCTGCTCTCGCCTGATTGGCCGCCAGCTAAGCTCCGCCTTTTTGGCCGCGGGAGCCGCGGCGGCCGCAGACACTTGAACAGGGCCCAGGTATTTGTCCATCAGGTCGTGAAAAGCAGTCAATATATCTGTCTCAGTCATAAGTCTTTTGTCTTGAGAGATGAGCATCTGTGTGGGGACGGTGTGCAACACCCATGGTGCTGTAATACCATTTTCCTTAGACAATATTTCGGGAGGATTATAGTCTATTTCGGTAAAAAGCTTTCGCAGTCGTAGTGATACTGGGAGACCCGATATCCTCCGCAAGTAGCGGTCGGAGAGATCTTCATATAGTTCATAAGCGTCTAAATCCATTATGTGGTAGCAGGGGTGGTTGTGATCACTTTTTACTTTCAGGTAGTACCGGGCTAGTAAGTCTCGGCGTCTAATGCTGAGGGGTTCCACGTTCGTGTCCACTTGTAATGCTCTTACAGGGGAAGTCCGCAAGGCACCAGTGGCAATGCGGAGTGCCGTGTTCTGAATAGTCTCAAGGGACTCCACAAGCCGAGTCCCTGGCCCATCCAAAATAAAAGATGAATAGTCGAGTATTGGTCGGATCAGGGATTTATACATGCGTAATAACACAGTTCTGTCGGCACCGTAGCTTTTTCCGGCAATGCTTTTCAGTATCGACATTCGTTTCTGAGCTCTTCCTTTAACATATTCTATGTGCCCATTTAAGCTCAGTTTCGAATCAAGTAAGACGCCTAGATAACGGACCTGGTCCACAATACAAATAGGGTGACCGTTGAGTTTGAGAGTAGGTAGTTGGTTCTGGTTCACTCGTTTTAAACCTCTTCTAAACAAAACGGCGTTAGTCTTCATGGGGGAAAATACAAAACCGTTCCGCTCTGACCACTGTCCTATTCTGGTTAAAGCGTTTTGGATTTTCTTAAATATAAGTGGGATATCTTTTCCCTGCGCCCAGATAGTGCAATCGTCTGCGTATATAGCAGCAGAGACCTCTCTTGGTATTGCGTCAATCAAAGAGTCAATCACAATATTAAAAAGCAATGGAGAGATCACCCCTCCTTGGACAACGCCATACTCCTGCTCAAACGTATCTGATACCTCTCCGCACCTCACTTGGAATGTCCTATTTTGCAAGTAGCCTCGAATGAAATGCATGATATGGCCCCGGAAGCCGATATCATACATTCTATTCAACAAAACCGTTGGGGAGACCATGTTATATGCTGACTTAATGTCTAGGAACACACCGAGGGTGGAACAGTGGTGAAGGAATCCTTCTCGTATGTGCGAATCAAGTCTCACTAGGTGGTCCCCAGTAGACTTTCCTGATCGGAACGCACATTGATATTTCGATATAAGGTCATATTTCTCAAGGTACCATGACAGTCTCTTACCAATCATCCTCTCTAGTAATTTGCACATACAAGAGGTGAGTTGGATAGGCCTGTACGATTGCATTTGGTTGCGGTCTTTCCCTGGCTTAAGGATGGGTATGATGTAAGAATGTCTCCATGCGTCGGGGAACACGTCATTCACCCATACATAATTATAAAAACGAAGCAGTTCAATCAGCTGTGTTTCATGCATATGTCGGAAGAAATCATAGTGAACCTTGTCCGGCCCGATGGATGTAGAGCCAGATCGTTTAATAGCGTCAGTAAGTTCTCTCATTGTAAATTCTTTGTTGTAATCCTCGTAGTTCTCATCCCCAAATTCAGGTAAGTTTCCTGCTAATTCACGTTCCCAGTCAAGAAAGGCTTGGGGGTAGTTCGATCTCGAGCTCATATTCGAGAAATACCTCCCGAAGTGATTTGCCACCTCAGTAGGGTCGTCAATAATCTCGTTATTATGCATAATAACTGGGAGAGGTCTCATGTATCGATGCTTCTGCGAGAACTTACGGATTATATCCCACAGTTTCCCCATCGGGGTTCTGTGGTTAAACACTGATAGCAGCTCCTGCCATGAGCGGATCTGTGCATCTCTAATAGTCCGTCGTGTCTTAGCCTTCGCTTTCCTATACTCAATTCGTAGGAATTGGGAATGAGGGTCTCTCCTCATTCTGTTATGAGCTCTCCTTCTAGTCAGAATTGCGTTCCTGCAGTCATCCGTCCACCACGGACACGAGTATTTGGTGTTACCATTTCGGGTGGGTATAAACTTCTGGGCAGTGTCAATAATAGTTTGAGTTATTTCATCACAGTTCTCCAGTCCAAGGTTAGGATTGAATTTGAAATCACATTTCATTTCAAATTCCGTCCAGTTAGCTTTCCTCGTGTTCCATCCATAAAAAACAGGGGGCAAGTTCGTGTAGGCAGTAGGATTACCGACATCTATACGTATGGGGTAGTGGTCACTGGCATATAGGTCTTTTTCAGTGTCCCATTCAAGTATGTGAGAGATATCGTTTGATACCACTGTCAAATCGATATGGGACGTATCTCCTGTGGATTCATCCAGTCTAGTTGGCTGTCCATCATTCAAAACATGTAGGTTATGATGGTTGACAACATCCATCCAGATGCAACCCCGTCTGTCACATTGCACAGCTCCCCACATGAAATGTTTGCTGTTTGCATCTGTACATATTACAAATGGTTTAGGGAGTTGCTGGATTAATAGGGATATATCCTGAAATGAGAAGTTGTCAGTTGGGGGCAAGTACAATGAACAGAATGTAATTCTTTCCCTCTGTAGCCTTACTGAGCAGGCTACCACCTGTAAATTGCTCTGTACAGGTAATACCATGTGCGGCAGGCGATTTGATACATATATCGATACACCTCCTCTCCTGTCACCTTGAGGTGAGTATGCGTTGTATAAAGAATAATGTGGTAAGTCAAAACAATATCTGTCATTGGCCATAAAGTGAGATTCCTGAATACAGATCACCTGGTAATTACCGTCCAAGAACATTTGTTTGGCTTCTGCCCACTTTCCGATCAGTCCTCTGGCATTCCATTGTAGGACCCTTGTCAGAGTTTCTTAGTCGAGCCAGAACACAATTCACCACTCATAAGTTCCCACTCCTTGGGAATAATTGGGCTGGCTGCTACTATCGGGTTCATATCAGTCATGATGCTGATATTGTACCATTTTCCATAGGAAACAAGATAGCTGATCATCAACCACCTCAGCTTGTGTGGTTGTTTGATCAGCACATGTAAGTTAACAAACCGAAATACAAGTAGAAATAAAGACGTCTTGATTCTACGTTAAAAAAAGAAAAGAAAAGAAAAAAAGAGTTTTGTGTTTTAGTGCTAAAAGTTACGTTAGGGTTTGGGTTTCCTGGTCAGGCTGGGCATTCGCCTGTCCCTTCCAGGTCTCCCTCCTTGACGTTTTTTGCCAAGCTCAGGGGATGGCGATACCCCATCAGCAGGGATATCTGATGTCTCTGTCATTGATGACTGCTCAGAGTCAGGATGGGCTTTTTGGGTTCTTTCACTCCTCTCCTTGACCTCATCTGTGTTCTGCGTCACCTGCGATGTCCAGCTCTGTCGGATCACTCGCTGAGAGGAACCAGCCAGAGTGTCTTTGTTTGTTGGTGGAGTGCTCCTCTCAGTGTCTGAGGGTGGTGAGGGCTCCTGTGAGCCCTCTGCCACCAATTGGGATTCCACGGGGTCCATGAACATGTCAGGCTGTGACTGGGTCTGAGTGTCCTCAGCACCTTCCTGCTCTCCTGTCCCCGTTTGCACTTTTGTTGGTGTTTGATTTGCCTCAGCCTCAGTCCCTTGAAGCTTAAGGACCCTGTCCAGAAGAGTGATCATTTTGTCGAGTTTCTCCCCAATCACACGGAGTTCAGTCTTAAATGTTGGGTCGGATGGCGGATCACTACTACCCCTTACTACCGAAGCATAGGATCGTAAGGTAGGGGAGCTGGTTTCAGCCGCGATGATACGGCGGGCGTGTGCATAGGACACATCTTTTTTAACCTTGATTTCACATACACGCTTCTCCTTTTTCCACACTTCACATTGCCGAGAGAGCCCATCATGCCCAGTATCCCCGCAGTGGAGACATTTCTGCTCACATGTGCCGTCATGTTTTTTGTCCCCGCATGTGAGGCATTTCACCTCTGATTGACATCTGGCCTGAATGTGGCCAAATCTCCCACACTGTAGACACATCAATGGGTTCGGGATATGCTGCCTCACGTTGTAGGTCACATAATCAAAGTCAAGTTTTGTGGGGCACGTGGGTCTGTTGAATGTAAGAAGGATAGTCGGGGTTCTTTCGATACGGCTTCCGGTTCTCCTGGTAAATCGCCTAGCGGCCACCACCCCGAATTCCGTCAGCCATCCAACAATCTCTTCCTCAGACAGATCAATCAGGTCTACTGCATGGATAGTTCCCCGACTCTGGTTTAGTCTCTCCTCTCGTTCTACAACACATTCCATGTCTCCGAACATCCGAGCTTTGAGAAGTTTCTCAGTCTGGGTGCTAGTCTTAGTCCTCACCAGCAACCGTCCATCACTCATAAAGCTAGCCTTTTCAACTTTCTCCGTGCCCCCAAGAATCCCTCTGATGCATTGTTGTATCCATGGCCATCCCTTTTCTCTAGGAGATCTACCTGCTAGGAGCTTCACTGAGAGGTAGGATCCAGACTGAGACTCCTCCTCCCCCCAGAAACTATCAGTCAGATCATCGGCCCTTACCCTCTTACTGGCCCTATTAGGCCCCATCTTAAGTCCTATGCCATCCACACACCTCAACCTTACCTTCCGAAAGCGTAAGAAAGAAAAACCTTTTCAGTATATAATTGAAATTATCAATGGAAAGATACAAATCAAAAAGAATCTAAGTGGAAAAACACCGCCTTCGCTATCGCCCCGGATCGCCAGAAACGTCTTCCTCCAGCCACGTGTCTCGCGAGGTTCCTAGAGTTACGGGCACGGTTGTTTGCAAAAGTCATGTAAAAGATGTACAACGGCCTGACTTGGGCCTGACGTTGACTCCGGACTGCTCCGAACGCTCGGTCGGGACTTCTATATACCCTATACCCTGCTCGGGACGCACCTCGCCGACCCCACACTCTTCACTTGACTCGCACGGTGGCGGTCACGGGGTGGCGGTGACCGGTGACCGGCGCGGCGCCCTCCGCTCCTCCCCTTTCCTCTGATGTAACGGAAGTTAGCCCACATTCAGCCCACATTCGGCCCAGCCCAGATTGGGGCTGCCAAATCTAGGGAAAAATCTAGAAATCTAGGGAAAAATCTAAAAACCGTTTTACGCCTAAACGGCTGGACGAAACTGAAAAATAAGACCACCATTTGAAAGATCTCTTCACCCCGGACCTAATGATATGGTTAAATACCGGATCAATTTAACCAAAAGCATGATTTAACCAGGATGAAAATTTTCGGTCCATGGGGCGGCCCCTACGATTTTCTTCAAAATCCGCATGGTGATACTACAGGCCGAGATGATCAATCTGGCTGAAGAAACCCCTATGGGCATTGAAATCTATGGGGTAAAAACGCCCTTGGAAAGTTTTACCCACGCATTTCTGGCAAGTGTATCGCACGCATCCCCCCAATATGGGTATCATATGAAAGCCCATGAAAACCCAAACAAAATGGTGGGGTAAAATTTACCCATTACCCCATCCAGGGTAAAGTTTACCCAAGATGAAAATTTTCGGTCAATGGGGCGGCCCCTACGATTTTCTTCAAAATCGGCATGGTGATACTACAGGCCGAGATGATCAATCTGGCTGAAGAAACCCCTATGGGCATTGAAATCTATGGGGTAAAAACGCCCTTGGAAAGTTTTACCCACGCATTTCTGGCAAGTGTATCGCACGCATCCCCCAATATGGGTATCATATGAAAGCCCATGAAAACCCAAACAAAATGGTGGGGTAAATTTTACCCATTACCCCATCCAGGGTAAAGTTTACCCAAGATGAAAATTTTCGGTCAATAGGGCGGCCCCTACGATTTTCTTCAAAATCGGCATGGTGATACTACAGGCCGAGATGATCAATCTGGCTGAAGAAACCCCTATGGGCATTGAAATCTATGGGGTAAAAACGCCCTTGGAAAGTTTTACCCACGCATTTCTGGCAAGTGTATCGCACGCATCCCCCAATATGGGTATCACATGAAAGCCCATGAAAGCCCAAACAAAATGGTGGGATAAAATTTACCCATTACCCCATCCAGGGTAAAGTTTACCCAAGATGAAAATTTTCGGTCAATGGGGCGGCCCCTACGATTTTCTTCAAAATCGGCATGGTGATACTACAGGCCGAGATGATCAATCTGGCTGAAGAAACCCCTATGGGCATTGAAATCTATGGGGTAAAAACGCCCTTGGAAAGTTTTACCCACGCATTTCTGGCAAGTGTATCGCACGCATCCCCCCAATATGGGTATCATATGAAAGCCCATGAAAACCCAAACAAAATGGTGGGGTAAAATTTACCCATTACCCCATCCAGGGTAAAGTTTACCCAAGATGAAAATTTTCGGTCAATGGGGCGGCCCCTACGATTTTCTTCAAAATCGGCATGGTGATACTACAGGCCGAGATGATCAATCTGGCTGAAGAAACCCCTATGGGCATTGAAATCTATGGGGTAAAAACGCCCTTGGAAAGTTTCACCCACGCATTTCTGGCAAGTGTATCGCACGCATCCCCCCAATATGGGTATCATATGAAAGCCCATGAAAACCCAAACAAAATGGTGGGGTAAATTTTACCCATTACCCCATCCAGGGTAAAGTTTACCCAAGATGAAAATTTTCGGTCAATGGGGCGGCCCCTACGATTTTCTTCAAAATCGGCATGGTGATACTACAGGCCGAGATGATCAATCTGGCTGAAGAAACCCCTATGGGCATTGAAATCTATGGGGTAAAAACGCCCTTGGAAAGTTTTACCCACGCATTTCTGGCAAGTGTATCGCACGCATCCCCCCAATATGGGTATCACATGAAAGCCCATGAAAACCCAAACAAAATGGTGGGATAAAATTTACCCATTACCCCATCCAGGGTAAAGTTTACCCAAGATGAAAATTTTCAGTCAATGGGGCGGCCCCTACGATTTTCTTCAAAATCGGCATGGTGATACTACAGGCCGAGATGATCAATCTGGCTGAAGAAACCCCTATGGGCATTGAAATCTATGGGGTAAAAACGCCTTTGGAAAGTTTTACCCACGCATTTCTGGCAAGTGTATCGCACGCATCCCCCCAATATGGGTATCATATGAAAGCCCATGAAAACCCAAACAAAATGGTGGGGTAAAATTTACCCATTACCCCAACCAGGGTAAAGTTTACCCAAGATGAAAATTTTCGGTCAATGGGGCGGCCCCTACGATTTTCTTCAAAATCGGCATGGTGATACTACAGGCCGGGATGATCAATTTGGCTGAAGAAACCCCTATGGGCATTGAAATCTATGGGGTAAAAACGCCCTTGGAAAGTTTTACCCACGCATTTCTGGCAAGTGTATCGCACGCATCCCCCCAATATGGGTATCATATGAAAGCCCATTAAAACCCAAACAAAATGGTGGGGTAAAATTTACCCATTACCCCATCCAGGGTAAAGTTTACCCAAGATGAAAATTTCTGGTCAATGGGGCGGCCCCTACGATTTTCTTCAAAATCGGCATGGTGATACTACAGGCCGAGATGATCAATCTGGCTGAAGAAACCCCTATGGGCATTGAAATCTATGGGGTAAAAACGCCCTTGGAAAGTTTTACCCACGCATTTCTGGCAAGTGTATCGCACGCATCCCCCCAATATGGGTATCACATGAAAGCCCATGAAAACCCAAACAAAATGGTGGGATAAAATTTACCCATTACCCCATCCAGGGTAAAGTTTACCCAAGATGAAAATTTTCGGTCAATGGGGCGGCCCCTACGATTTTCTTCAAAATCGGCATGGTGATACTACAGGCCGAGATGATCAATCTGGCTGAAGAAACCCCTATGGGCATTGAAATCTATGGGGTAAAAACGCCTTTGGAAAGTTTTACCCACGCATTTCTGGCAAGTGTATCGCACGCATCCCCCCAATATGGGTATCATATGAAAGCCCATGAAAACCCAAACAAAATGGTGGGGTAAAATTTACCCATTACCCCAACCAGGGTAAAGTTTACCCAAGATGAAAATTTTCGGTCAATGGGGCGGCCCCTACGATTTTCTTCAAAATCGGCATGGTGATACTACAGGCCGGGATGATCAATTTGGCTGAAGAAACCCTTATGGGCATTGAAATCTATGGGGTAAAAACGCCCTTGGAAAGTTTTACCCACGCATTTCTGGCAAGTGTATCGCACGCATCCCCCCAATATGGGTATCATATGAAAGCCCATTAAAACCCAAACAAAATGGTGGGGTAAAATTTACCCATTACCCCATCCAGGGTAAAGTTTACCCAAGATGAAAATTTCTGGTCAATGGGGCGGCCCCTACGATTTTCTTCAAAATCGGCATGGTGATACTACAGGCCGAGATGATCAATCTGGCTGAAGAAACCCCTATGGGCATTGAAACCTATGGGGTAAAAACGCCCTTGGAAAGTTTTACCCACGCATTTCTGGCAAGTGTATCGCACGCATCCCCCCAATATGGGTATCATATGAAAGCCCATGAAAACCCAAACAAAATGGTGGGGTGAAATTTCCCCATTACTTCATCCAGGGTAAAGATTACCCAAGATGAATCTGACCGAAAATTTTCATCTTGGGTAAACTTTACCCTGGATGGGGTAATGGGTAAATTTACCCCAACATTTTGTTCGGGTTTTCATGGGCTTTCATATGATACCCATATTGGGGGGATGCGTGCGATACACTTGCCAGAAATGCGTGGGTAAAAATTTCCAAGGGCGTTTTTACCCCATAGATTTCAATGCCCATAGGGGTTTCTTCAGCCAGATTGATCATCTCGGCCTGTAGTATCACCATGCCGATTTTGAAGAAAATCGTAGGGGCCGCCCCATTGACCGAAAATTTTCATCTTGGGTAAACTTTACCCTGGATGGGGTAATGGGTAAATTTTACCCCACCATTTTGTTTGGGTTTTCATGGGCTTTCATATGATACCCATATTGGGGGGATGCGTGCGATACACTTGCCGGAAATGCGTGGGTAAAACTTTCCGAGGGCGTTTTTACCCCATAGATTTCAATGCCCATAGGGGTTTCTTCAGCCAGATTGATCATCTCGGCCTGTAGTATCACCATGCCGATTTTGAAGAAAATCGTAGGGGCCGCCCTATTGACCGAAAATTTTCATCTTAGGTAAACTTTACCCTGGATGGGGTAATGGGTAAATTTTACCCCACCATTTTGTTTGGGTTTTCATGGGCTTTCATATGATACCCATATTGGGGGGATTCGTGCGATACACTCGCCAGAAATGCGTGGGTAAAACTTTCCAAGGGCGTTTTTACCCCATAGATTTCAATGCCCATAGGGGTTTCTTCAGCCAGATTGATCATCTCGCCCTGTAGTATCACCATGCCGATTTTGAGGAAAATCGTAGGGGCCGCCCCATTGACCGAAAATTTTCATCTTGGGTAAACTTTACCCTGGATGGGGTAATGGGTAAATTTTACCCCACCATTTTGTTTGGGTTTTCATAGGCTTTCATATGATACCCATATTGGGGGGATGCGTGCGATACACTTGCCAGAAATGCGTGGGTAAAAATTTCGAAGGGCGTTTTTACCCCATAGATTTCAATGCCCATAGGGGTTTCTTCAGCAAGATTGATCATCTCGGCCTGTAGTATCACCATGCCGATTTTGAAGAAAATCGTAGGGGCCGCCCCATTGACCGAAAATTTTCATCTTGGGTAAACTTTACCCTGGATGGGGTAATGGGTAAATTTTACCCCACCATTTTGTTTGGGTTTTCATGGGCTTTCATATGATTCCCATATTGGGGGGATGCGTGCGATACACTTGCCAGAAATGCGTGGGTAAAACTTTCCAAGGGCGTTTTTACCCCATAGATTTCAATGCCCATAGGGGTTTCTTCAGCCAGATTGATCATCTCGGCCTGTAGTATCACCATGCCGATTTTGAGGAAAATCGTAGGGGCCGCCCCATTGACCGAAAATTTTCATCTTGGGTAAACTTTACCCTGGATGGGGTAATGGGTAAATTTTACCCCACCATTTTGTTTGGGTTTTCATGGGCTTTCATATGATACCCATATTGGGGGGATGCGTGCGATACACTTGCCAGAAATGCGTGGGTAAAACTTTCCAAGGGCGTTTTTACCTCATAGATTTCAATGCCCATAGGGGTTTCTTCAGCCAGATTGATCATCTCGGCCTGTAGTATCACCATGCCGATTTTGAAGAAAATCGTAGGGGCCGCCCCATGGACCGAACATTTTCATCCTGGTTAAATCATGCTTTTGGTTAAATTGATCCGGTATTTAACCATATCATTAGGTCCGGGGTGAAGAGATCTTTCAAATGGTGGTCTTATTTTTCAGTTTCGTCCAGCCGTTTAGGCGTAAAACGGTTTTTAGATTTTTCCCTAGATTTCTAGATTTTTCCCTAGATTTGGCAGCCCCAATCTGGGCTGGGCCGAATGTGGGCTGAATGTGGGCTAACTTCCGTTACATTTTCCTCTGTTTTGCTTCTGTTTATGCGAGGCTGGCAACGTGTTCGAGCGACCTGCATGAAGTTTAGGATGTAGATATGATAGATCAAAAGTCTAACTCAGGATCAGTATTTTTTGTCCTAAATTTATCATACTTTTCGCAGCCCCACGTAATGTGGCTATATAACTGTATGCCTGCTTAAAAATTAAATGAATGCTACGCCTCTTGACAAGGGGAATCTAAAAAAGCATTATCTATATAGTATATTATCTTTCTAATTTTCACCTCTATTCCTAAGCCCTACCCACTGCAACGTGTTGCCATAGTAATGTTTAACCGTCCCGTGCATATCCTGCTAAAGAACAGCGCTGAGGAAAACTTCCTAAATAATAATAAAACAGCGACAGCAGCAAGATGCATTCACCATATCGTTGTGCTGTTTTTAATGGTATCTTTTGATCCGCACGATTATTTCATTTATAAGTTTTCTTTCACACCAGAAAGATCGATGACCATCGACGACAATTTAGTCGTCTTACGGGCAAACGACCTTGAGACAGTAGCGCCGCAAAATACACTGACGTTTGCCGCCGAAACCGATTGCTCCCTAGAACGCAAAAGACGCAGATTGAGATTGGGCAAGGAGATTGGGGAGATCAAGGGGGACAGGGATTGTACGGCGCAAGGGCGAGTGGGTTTATATACCTGCATACCTTGACCTTGGTCTGCAATTTGGTTTTGAAACTTATTTGAAGTGATTGCGCATTCAGCGTTTGAAGTCGTTTACGTTGATGCGTGTCTTGGCTGAGTAGAATATCGCCTACAGCTTGAGCCGGCAGCCCCACTGCGAGCTCCACTGGGCACTGATTCCATTGCCGACCGCGACCGAGTACCACCTCAACCTTGCCTCAACCTACCGTGGATTGGCTGAGCGAGGCTGAGCAACTCGTTTGAGTTGAAGTTGGTGAGTATTTATAGTGACTAGCACATGTAATTAAATTGGAATTCAATCAGTGGCATACTACAGAAGTCTCAGATATTTTTTATGAGATTCCTGTGACCTAGACTAGGCAACATCATAGATGTACTTGTATTTCTCGAGGCCCCTGATGAATGTGAAGATAAAGTACAGTGAAGATAAAATCATGGGTAATCTAGCCTGACATAATGTAGCTCAGTTTGCCGCCCAGTCCTGTAGCTCAGTTGGAGCGTTGGTGTCTGCGTGGTGAGAGCACACATACCTGTCCCGTAGCCGGTCCCGTAGCTCAGTTGGTAGAGCGTTGGACTCTGCGTGGTGAGAGCACGCGTTCCCGGTTATAACAGTCCGGGTTCGAAGCGCGACGGGCGCTCGACATTTATGGGCCTCCTGACAGGTATGGTTGCGGTTGATGGCAGGCCGTAGCCAGGCGAAGTCAGTGAGGGGACCGGCCGTGCGCGGCTATGTGCGCACGTTAACCCGGCAGGCGGTGGGCCTACCAGCCACCTTCCGCGCGGTGGGGGGGGGGCACTTTTGCCCCCCCCGTATCTCCGAAACTACTGGACGGATCCAGAAAATTCAAACGGCGTTCGATAGCCCTGTCAAATTTGTTGAGGCAAACCAAATTTCATTGACCTCGGGGTCACCGATGACGTCACAGGTCAGGTCAAAGATAAAATGTTTCACCGTTCACGGGGCTTCTAGGGAAAGCGCTATAACACCGAGTAAAACGCATTTTGTCGAAAATCAGCGATAAGGCGTCAGTTGTCTAGTACATATGTTGCTATTAGAGGTCACTGGTCATACCAGGTCAGGTCACAGGTCAGGTCACCAAAGGTCACCAAGGGTCACCACATGAGCCCAACTTTACTAAGGTTATGCGATGCATATTTTATGGCCAGTTTTTCATTTCCAACTCAATGGTGTTGGTTATAAGACCATCAGGTACGGTTTAGGTCACTTTCTGGTGGAGGTCAGGTCAAGGTCAGGTCAAAAAAGGTCAAATTTCAAAGTTGATAGTTTTGCATAAAATGGGTATCGATTCGATGCAGCTCGTCACGGGGAGTCTAATGGTGGTCTTTGTTTTGCGCTACGAGGTCTAGAATTGCTAAAAATTGAGTTTGAAAATTTGACGTCATCAATTTTGAACAGTTTTTTCGCTATAACTTGCCCAAAAAAAAGAGGTATCGATCTCAAATATGGTATGTAGATGGAAGGCGGTAGCGGCTATGACATATATTCCGGTTTTTTCGAAATTCAAAAAAAAATTGGATTTTTTGGCTATTATATTCAAAAATCTATTTTTTTGTTATTTGGGGGTCAAAATTCAAAAAATTCGAAAAACCGAAATAGCAGTTTTGTAGCCCTTTTCATTCCACACCTTTTATGTCTGAAACATTTTTCTGCATCTCTAAAGCTGTAGGCCTGACAGCTCTTCCTGCGAAACCTCTTTTTGGTCGAAAATGGCAAAAATGACGTCACTCTGACGTCATTAGCGGCCAACCTATCATAGCCTTTGGAAAAATTTTTGGTCACCATGTGCGCTAGCTGCTCCCGGGAGGGTACTGAAAGTTTGGTGACGATCGGCGCAGTGGTTCTCGAGATATATCGAAAAAAACTAAAGGGGGGGGGGGCAAAAAAATGCCCCCCCCCACCGCCTGGAAGGTTAAACTTTGGACTCTAAATTCTGCCATAGAACCGGAATTGCGTGATCGGAGGGTAGAGGGCAGGGTCACCGCAACAAGCTTCGCTTAGCGGTGGCTCTGTCCTTGTGAATCCTTCCTATCAAAAGGTTCGGACTAAATTTATAAAAAAACCTGGTTATAACAGTCCGGGTTTGACGCACGACGGGCACTTGACGTTTATGGGCCTCCTGACAGGTATGGTTGAGGTTGGTGGCAGGTCGTAGCCAGGCGAAGTCAGTGAGGGGACCAGAAGTGTACGGCTATGTGCGCACGTTTAACTTTGGATTCCAAATTCTGCTATAGAACTGGAATTACATGATTGGAGGGTAGAGGCAGGCCGCAGGGTCAGTGTGACAAGCTTCGACTAGCTGGGGCTCTGTCCTTGTGAATCCTTCCATTCAAAAGGTTTGGACAAAATTTATTTAAAATAATAACGCTACCTTCTGACATACAACCTTGAGCCTACCAACCTTAAGCCTACAAGCCTACAACCTACCACCTGAAACCTACAACCTACAACCTATTAACTTACCTATCATACTTCATCTACACATATACTGGCCCCCCATGGTTTTAGCTAAATCCTTCCAACTGCACCGATAACCCTCTGAGTGTGGGGTGTCTTGTGGGGGGTGAATGCATCTGGGGTGGGGCTGTCTTTCCCCATTTATAAGCAGTCTGGCAACCCAAGTGTCGCATCTGAGTTATGGCCTATCAATCTACTGTCACATTGATCCAAAATTTACTGAAAGAGTTGTCTTCAATCAGCTTTAGGCCTACATCCCAGAGAGAAATATCCTGTACAAACGACGGTATGCCTGCCGTCCCTGCCACTCCTCCACTGAGGACGCCGTGCTCGACGCTGTCGATGGGCTTTCCCAGAATATTGACTCCGGCTTCATATCATCCATTGTTGCCGCCGACTTGAGCAAAATGTTCGACAGCGCTGATCACGGTGTCCTGTGCAAGCTGGGGTGGTATGGAATCAGCCCCTCGTGGTTCGCCAGCTATCTGGGTGGCAGCAGTCACGTAGTTCGCGGCGGTAGTGACACCCCCACGGTTGTCACCCACGGCGTCCCACAGGGGTAAGTTGTCGGGCCGATCCTGTTCAGTCTTTTGTGTAATGATCTCCTGTGCTATTTGGATGTCGACCCAATTATTTACGCTGATGACACCCATTTATTGGAGCGGGCGAAGCCCGAGCCTCAAAGTCAATGGCTCTTTAAATGCTTATCGAAAAGACGCTATCAATTTTGCAAGACTAGTATCGTTTTAACTCGCTGAAAACGAATCCCCGTAAAACAAAACTAATTTTGATAGAATCTTGTCAAAACATTAAAAAGAATAAGGTTTTCATTTAGTCATCGACGAGGCCCGAGTGACACCTCACACCATCCAGCTCCGTTCGAGTGTTGGGTGTCGTGCTCGACCCCTCACTGTCTTGGTAGGTTCACATCGGCCATGTGGTTCAGAAATGCAATTGAAATGCAACGGCTGGTCGAGATAAGGGACGCCATCAAAATGCATAATCTTTTGAGTTTTGGTGCAGGAGCTTGGACCTGCCACCATCCGTTCCATGTTTGTAGCGAGATCGGGGATTTCGAGTCGCTCCATCCGCTCCACAGACGCCAGTCGGCTGGGGCTGCCGCCGTGCATGCCGCCGGCATCTACACAGGCATGGCATATATTTTTTTCCAGTATGGTCTGCAACTGGCTACGTTTGTTAGCACCCTTCCGATCCTCCATCGTATCGGTGGAAAATTGTAAGGAGTGGTGGGTGTTCAGAGACTGCAAATCCGCCGCCCCCAGTGCGCCGGTTGGGCTTTAGGGCCGCAGCAGACGGCGGGGTCAAGGCTACCCGCGCTGTATCAGTGGATTTGCGGTGGACGAACATCCACAACTCCTCACAATTCTTAACCTTTACTTCATCGCCTCGGCCTCTGCTCATCAGACATCGAAGCCTCAGATACGAGACATTCACCTAGAGGTGTTATTATTGAGAATGGGGATAGCGCAATTGCGCCATCACTCACAATTACTCCGTCTCGCTGACGAATACTCCCCTTTCTCACAACCCACTGTCCACCGGCAGGGTGCAGTCGACGGCACAGCTGGCTGGGCCCTCGCGATTACATACTGCAGCTCATCACTCGGAACTACCATGCACAGTGCACACCCCACGCTCTACTTCCAATGTGTCAACAAGACAAGAGAGCCAAAAAGAGGGCCTGTGTTTTTGTTTTGTAGGGTTAGGCCCTTTCGGTCTAACGGGACCTTTTCAGAGCTGGAAGGATGACAGGAGACATTGGTCTGGGTGGCCACCCTGGTACGTCGACGAGTCCGAGCCCGTCCAGTGGACAGGACACCCCAGCCCCTCTAAGGGAGAGGGACATGGGAAACAGGGTCCCGGACCCGCCCTCCCCATCCCTGCCGAGTCGGCTCTTTCTGCCCCTGCAAAGCGACTCGATGCAAAGCTCGTCTTTTGCTTTTGAATTCAGTTGGTTTATCAGTTTCTGGCTTTGTGCAGGATATGCCTATTTGCTATTGTGCCCTCTCGCTTATTGGACTCAAGTATACCTACTATTTTGTTTGTCATATCCTACTTTTGCACAAAGCAGCTGTGATAAAAGGCGAATATATTTTAAACCGTGAAACGTCGCAAAATAATATTTTATTTTATTGCGAAGCTAGACCCATTGCGTGGCCGGCGTCGCAATTCGCATAGCCTCAAGAAGAAACAGACAATGCTGGTTCCATCGGTATCGGCCGCGCAGAGGTATCCGCTTCGGAGTCTCATGCATTTTGCTTTTGTGAGTTTATTGAACCTGTAACTAAACCATAAAGCACTTGCCAGATAGTCCTGCAGGTCCTGCACTTCCCCAATCCAAGCCACGATCAGGCCATGGTTACTCATTAGTCATTAGATTGCAATGCATTGAGTTTGAAATTTGCTGCATTTTTGGCAATCTCTATTAAGTTAAAGACATTCCATTTGATTGCGAATAAGCAGTACGTACCTATGTCAAAGAACGCCCTTTTCAGTGTCACGTCTCAAGGCTATCTAAACAATGCGTGGTGTGACTCGTTGTTATGGAGTAAGTCATTGACAAGTGAAAAATATTTCCATTGCCACTATGTCGAATTTCTTCTCATAAAATATAACGTGCTATTGGTTTCCTGAGTTCCGTACGTTTTTCTGCCCGCCAAATTACCACTCTGCTTAACAGGCATTTATGTGCGAGTGTGCCGGGTTATCTGTCGGTGAGGTGAGTTGCAGAGTTCAATGGCGCTCAATGAGGGCTGTAGTTTTACCTGACTGTCGCTGCTCGCTCACAGATTCCGGTCGAGATTGGCTGCTGATTCGGCTGTAGCGCAGGAATAAAACGCGCCATGGACGCCAAGCTCGCACCGACCAAGGCGTCCGCGATGGCCAACGGAGAGGCGGCTGGCGCGCCCAAGAGTTTCAAGAGGAGCAACTCGCTGCAGGACAAGACACCCGCCCATTCCAAGCCCGGGGCGGCGGCTGCCACCGCGCGCCGGCTGCGCTCCATTTCCATTTCGGAGCCGCAGCCGACCAAGGCGCAGCCCAAGTTCTCCAAGAACAGCAGGAAGTCCAGGAGCGGCTTCGGAAGGGGGCTGCCCAAGAAGGGTGAGCACTGAGCGTGTCCAGATCGAACGAGCTGTATCTATCAAGCTTTAGTCGCTTGGCCAATAGTATGGGAATTACCATATTAGTGATAACGATCAACGGATTCGAATAACGTTTGTCACAATTTTGATCGTCAAGTAATCATGCTGTATTTGGCGGTTCAGTTATTAACCCGCGCCCAGATGGGGTCTGCCGAGCAACGCGGTCTGATGGGGGGGGGGGGCCATTTTGGCCCCCCCCGATCAGATCTCGAGAACCACGCAACATAGCGACAAGCGGTAAACGGTGTTGGATAGCCCCAACGGGGAACTACCTTGTGACCCAATTTCATTGACCTCAGTCAAACCGATGACGTCACAGGTCAGGTCAAAGGTCGAATTTTCACCGTTTACAGGCATTTCAAGAAATGCGTTGTAAAATCGAGTAAAATGCATTTCATTGAAAATCATCGGTGGAGCAATGTTCTTCAAACACATATTTTGCTATTTGAGGTCACTGATACCAGGTCAGGTCACAGAGGTCAGGTCACTGGGGGGGTCACAATATGAAAGTGTCGTGTGATACATGTTTTATGGTCCATTTTACATGACAAATGCGATTATGTGGGTCAGACAGACTTAAGGGCCAGCTTAGGTCACGTTTTGGTCAAGGTCAGGTCAAGGTCAGGTCAAGGTCAGGTCAAATTAGGTCAAATTTCAAAGTTGATATTTTTGCATAAAATGGGTATCGATTCGATGCAGCTCGTCACGGGGAGTTCAATGGTGGTCTCCGTTTTGCGCTACGAGGTCTATAATTGCTAAAAATTGAGTTCAAAAATTTGACGTCATCAATTTTTAACAGTTTTTTTGCTATAACTTGGCCAAAAAAAGAGGTATCGATCTAAAATTTGGTATGTATATCGAAGAGCGTAGGGACTATCACATATATTCCGGTTTTTTTCGAAATTCGAAAAAAAGGAAATTTTTTGAGTTTTTCTAAAAAAATCAATTTTTTTGATTTTTGGGGGTCAAAATCCCAAAATTTCGAAAATCCGAGATAGCAGTTTTGTAGCGCCGTTTTTTCTCTACACAACCACATAAAGAACTTTAAAATTGCTTGTTAACTGTAGAATTGGTGAGCGTTTCAAGATGTCATGTTTTTTGCTCATTTTTGCTCGAACATGACCTCAGTTTGACCTCAATAACTCCTGACCTGAGGTGACCTGTGACTTGAAATTTTGTGTGAAGGTGTCAAATTGATGCCCGGTAAGGTACCCAAAATTTGGCGGCGCTGCGCGCCGCCGTTTTCTCGCTATTTAAGAAAAACCACAGGGGGGGGGCCAAAATGGCCCCCCCCCATCAGGGCGCGGGTTAAAACGCTTCTTGAAATGGAGACACCAAATAGGCAATGGCCGTTAATAGGCAATAGGTGGTAGTTCGTGTAGGCAATAGCCACCATCACAATCCATGACATACACGTTACATTTATTTTGCGTCGTTTAAGAGCAGCTATCAATTACCACACCACCGAATCGCCGAATCGCAGACCGCCCAACTATCGATCATATCACACACCACATCTCTATCCGCCCGCAGGCGGGGCCGGCGGTAAGGGTGTGTGGGGTAAGCCGGGCTCCGAGCTGGACGGCGTGGCCAGCGCCGTGGACTCGCACGACCCCAACTACGACTCCGAGGCCATGGACGATGACGTCGAGCTCGAGCCGGTGGCCGTCCAGCTGACCGCTGACGAGGTCAAGGTGGGTCACAGAACGAGGTCAAGACGGGTCACAGAGTTGAAGGTGGGTCACAGAACGAGGTCAAGGTGGGTCACAGAACGAGGTCAAGGTGGGTCACAGAACGAGGTCAAGGTGGGTCACAGAACGTGGTCAAGGTGGGTCACGGAGCTAGGTATTTCAAAGCGTTGTTAAGGTGGAGCAGAGACCGAAATTAGCGGACGCTGTGTTTCATGATGCGGCCCCACACGATTTTCTGTTACGGTTCCTGTGAGTTGGATCACCGAAATCGGGGCCTTATGACCGCGACATGTTTGCAGTGCACACGCTCTGACCTGTCGTTGATCCCTGTGCCCGCAGCGGCTGGCGGAGACGCTCGTTCTCGAGTACTTTGACCACGGCGACACGTCCGAGGTGGACAGGGCACTTACCGAGAGCTGGGACGTCATCAGCATCAAACTGCGCTACCTGGTACGGAACGTGATACATGACAGATACTGGACATGAATGGTGGGATGACCAGACGACTCGCATGGAGGTCCGAGAAGTGAATGATTAAGTAATGCGACAGTCTCAGAATTTATTACTTTAGTGTTATTCTTGTCGGTTCATAAATGCACAGAAGAGTCATGCGGCGGAGACATATAACCGCTATACTGATAGATGCGTACCTACGTTGAGCTACTGTAACAGCGTTTAGTACGGTAGTGAGTTCTCTCTGTAACGTCTCAAAGACCTGACGTGATGTGTTTTGTGCTGGGGGAGGATTCTGATCAGCTAGATCCCTCGCGGTTCATTGACCTGACACTGTCGGCGCCGCCCGCTCTGGCGTCCATAATGTGCACGTGCTGATCGTGAACGGCGTCTGCGTCCCACCAGGTCGTGGTGGCGATGGTGGAGCTGGCCATGGACCATAAGGCCTCGCACCGCGAGATGACTTCCGTGCTCATCTCTGACCTCTACCAGGAGTGTCTGACGCAGACAGACATCTGTCGCGGTGAGTGTCTTACAGACATCTGTCGCGGTGAGTGTCCAACCAGCTATCTGTTGCGGTGAGTGTCTGACGCAGACAGACAGCTGTCTCGGTGAGTGACAGGTATCTGTCGCGGCGAGTGTCTGACAGACAGCTGTCGCGGTGTGATAATCTGACAGCTGTTGCGGTGAGTGTCCGACAGACATCTGTCGCGGTGAGTGTCTGACTCACCCTGTGTCTGACTTATGACACACTATGCCCGCGTAACTTATCCGTTGCACTGAGTGTCTGACGCAGGCATCGGGTCATTCATCAGACATTTAGAGTTTTAGACTTTTGGTGAGTGTCGTCGGACTCAGACAGCATTCAGCTGCCACTGTGTTTGACGCCGGCACGGTAGTCGTACGTTTTTTTTTTTTTTTACAAACACGGGCGGAATTCAGGCGATGCTACAGCTGGTGGGATTGCTCGACTAACATCTTCCCTCGCTCCCTCCCGGGCAGGTTTTGAGGCGCTGCTGGAGCAGCTGCCGGAGCTGGTGCTGGACTGCCCCGACGCGCCCGAGATCCTGGGCAACTTCATGGCACGCTGCATTGCCGACGACTGCCTGCCGCCAAAGTACCTGTCTGGCCACAAGGGCAAGGTCGAGTGCCGATTGGCCATGTACGTAGGGAGAGGGGAGGGAGGACGGGCGGGGTGTGAGGTTGGCAGGCAGGCTGGTTCGGCCCGCGCTAGTGTGTTTGGCTGGCTGTGGAGGAGTGTTCATGCTATTTAAGCTGCTATTTCTTGGCAGGCCACTGAACAGCTTGGAATTTGCAACGATAATAGAACAGGTTTTCTCACATGCTCTCGGAAACTGGTAGGTAAAATTGCCATAAGGAATTTCCAAACAGCACTGTGATCGATAGCCAATAGCCACACAATATTCATGTGCGGGACGCGTGAAGCTGGATTAAAACTGATGACGATTGTCGCTCCGTTTCATTAATATCCCCAGCTTTCAATCCGGGCTGACTAACCGCTCTGTCTCCCTCCCGATGTGCCCGCAGTAAGGCACTGGACCGCGCCGACCTACTGGTCAGCTCTCCTCAGGGCATGTCGCGCCTAGATAACGTGTGGGGCACGGGCGGGGCGCGTCGGCCCGTGCGTGCGCTGGTCTCGCAGATGGTGCAGCTGCTGCAGGAGTACCTCAGCTCTGCCGACTGCGACGAGGCCATTCGGTGAGAGCGCAGGGAGGGGGCTACTCAGTGGGCTGGAGAGAGGGGCATCTTATGGAAGGATTGGTGAATAGTAGGGGGAGGAGTAAGGACACCCGTTGGCGGAGTTTTTTGTGAAGGGAGGGGTGGGCTATGACTGGTTCAAGGATTTGTGGCTGGTCAAAGAGCTGAACTACTTGTCGAAAGAGTGTTAAGTGGTTGGTGAGAGGGCAATTGGCGGACCACTTGTTGAAGGTGTGTTGATCGAATGTAGGGGTCCCTCGTTGAAGGATTGTGTGTATCAGGAAAGTCGGATGGGCGAAGGAGTGGCCAGTGGAGGAAGGAAAATACTATAAGGAAGGAGCCGGACCACTTGTTATAGTGGTGGTTGGTTGTAGGAGAGTACCTGTGAATTGAATGTGTTTTTAACTGCTACATAATCGCCTGGTGATGAGATAACCTCTCGCCTCTCCGCTGACTGTCTGCCGGCGCTGACCCCTCTCGGGCCCTGTCGCAGCTGTCTGAAGGAGCTGGAGGTGCCGCACTTCCATCACGAGCTGGTGTACGAGGCTGTGACCATGGCCATCGAGCGCTCCGACCGACGCTCCACCGACGAGATGGTCCGCCTGCTCAAGACCATGTACGGCGCCTGCGTGCTCACTACCAACCAGATGGACGAGGTCAGAGACGCCTGGGAGAAAAGTGTGGAGAGGCCATGGATCGGGTCAGGGCGTGGGGTAAGTCGGGGCCGGGCTAGGTGGACTGGGGTAAACCGGTGTGTCGTAGATTGGTGACCCCTGTGCTCAGCTGACGTCAGGGGTCGGGTCAGGGTGTGGGGTAAGTCGTCGCAGAGCGCGGTATGTTGGATTCATGGCGGAATAGGTATGGGTCACTGAAGGAATGAATCTGATTCATAAACCATCTCCAAGTAGGCATGATAATGATTCAATGTCACAAACCCGTGTGTAACTGTGTAGAGTGTCTACGGTTCGTGTCCATAATCCCGTATAATTCATACAGGGTTTCCTGCGCGTTTACGAGGCGATGCCGGACACCCAGCTGGACGTTCCCGAGGCGTACACCCTGCTGGAGCGTATCGTCACGCTGGCCTTCCAGAAGGGGGTCATCTCGCGCGACACCATGCGTCGTATGCCCACCAAGTGAGTACCGCTGTGAACTCGGGGTGTGTGAGGTGCAGGGCTGGGGCTCATACGGGACAGGAAGGCTGCTAAACCGCGGACACTGGTCGCCAGGAGCGCTACAACCGGATAACAGCTGTTTGCCGTCGAGTTGTTTTATGTCAACAGTACCACAGATTGTTGATATGGCATGTTGTCATGTTGCATAGAAGGAACTTACAGTGCATGACATTTAAAAGGAGGTGCCTTATCCACTGCAAACACCGCCGTCATCAAACAAGGTGGAGTGGTTCAAGAAGTGTGTATTGTTGCTCACCATATTGGCCAATGTGGCCGTGCAAGGCCGTGGTAGTTTAGATAATTCCCACCAGTACCAAACATAATCATCGGCATTTGTTCCGGGAAATCGTAATCAGACATTCAATGCTCGGTACTCTCCCTATTATCGTTGACATATTTTCCATCTTTAGTTGCCAGATATTCTCAATTGTACAACCAAAGAATATTACCTTTTCAACGTACAACTACAACGTACAACTAAAGAAGACGCTACATAATTTACGTGCGCTGTTGGACATGGCTAGGGTATGTTAGGCTATGTGCGCTTAGCTTGTGCACCCTTGTCCACCCCAGACCTCACTCCTCTCTTCTTCGGCAGGGGCCGCAAGCGGTTCGTCTCGGAGGGCGACGGCGGCCGCATCAAGGTCCGCGAGGCGCCCGGGCTCGTGTTCTGAGCGCACCGCGGCGGCGGCGGCCGCGACGAGCAGCGGCGCGGTGTGGCGTGCAGTGACGCGGTGTGACGTGATGGCTGTGTGGAGCGGGCTGCCGCGCGCCCCAGGTCCCGTGGCGGTGCGCGGTTGACCGGGGCGCGCGGCGGCACTGCCTGGGTGAGAACGACGGGAGCCCGGCTCAGGCGACTGCGGCGGCAGCGGCGGCGGCGATGGCGGCGGCGGCGGAAGTGATAAGAAGTGATACAGTTTATGTGGGCGGCCACAAGAGATGACGGTGGCGCCTATTACAGGGAAGGAACTGATGATGGCAGTGGGTGTAACCGGCAGCGTTCTCCTGGTTGTCGGCCGTGATGGCAAAGGAAGTTATCGCGACAGCCGCGCTCGACGGTTTAATGCTGGCGCCAGGCGACTCTGCTGGTGATCGAAGGAGATATGTGTTTGGACGGGAAGCAGACATGCTGCGCCGTTGAGCGTGTCTGTCGAAGCTCCCGTGGTCTCAGGTAACTGTTACACCGTTGAAGCCGGAGGCTATGGCCACCAGCCGGCGTGGTCGTCCGTGCGAGGATATGCCCGAACCGGCCTCCGCCGGCCGCTGCCGCAGTCGACTGAGCCGGCGCCCCGCGTGACTCCCCTTTCTGTGAGATGAGAAGTACAAACACTGGGCTGGTGACGCCGCCCGCTGTGCACCCTTATCACCCATCCATCCTGTGTGGTGGGCCCGGCCGCGCCCGGTCGACGCCCCACCACTCGGCGGCGTCCCCGGCCGGCCGGCGGCGCGCGGGCCCACCGGGCCCAGCTCTGTTTAGTCAGTAAGCTCTCTAATCCTGCTGTGACCCAAATATGGATGCTATTCTTGTGAGGAATCGGTAGAAACTAGCGGCTCGTGTTCCCGGCCTAGCGTGGCGCTGTAGCTGGTTCTCGCGTCTGTCGTTTTCTGGGAGACGGGCTCCAAACCGGTGGTTGTGCTGGGGTGGGTTATAGTGACTAGAGCTAGTCAGACTATTGAGACAGATCTGTTTTGTTGTGAGTATTATTGATTGTTTGGATCTGAATGCTAATTTCCGGAGCATTTCAAGTCTCGGTGCTACCTTTGCATTACGGTAATTTTTAGTGTTTTATTTTTAAGTCAGACCACCGAGGTAAATAAGAATCTTGTGTGTTAACTGTTAAGTCATTCCTGGGAGATGCCTTTCTGCTTTCGCGTGTGTCGATTCGAATCAATACATTACTGAGCCGCAAACCTAATGCCTGTTTTCTGAACAGACTAATGTTAGTGGTAATTTCAATTAACGAAGTGCTCTTTAACCCAGTTCACTGTCCCCATCCAATGTACGAACTCGATAGCTCCGTGCAGGCGATAGTTGTACAAACAGATACGCTATGTGCACTTCTCCATACGCTATGCTGCTGCATAGCGTATGGAGATATGATATGCTGCTGCGATATGCATGCTGCTGGAATCACATAAGGGAGCCAAGATAGGGTGTAAACAAGTACCAGTTATCGCTTACGCCGATGATGAAGTACTCATAAGCACAGACCCAAACGAACTCCAAGAAATGCTTGATATCGCTTACAACCATAGTTGCTTGTGGCGTTATAGATATAACGTATCAAAAACCAAAATAATGGTCTTTGGCAGGACAGCTCCGGTACAGTGGACGCTTGGCACTGAATCAATAGAACAAACTGATGAATACACCCACCTAGGAATCATTATGACAACCAGAAGTCCAGCAAAGAGAAGGATAGAAGAATGCATGAAGAAAGCAAGAAGAACATTTTTTGCTAAGTGTAAGAAAGGAATCAACCTCAAAATGGACAATCCGATGTCACACTATACAACGTGGAGAATATATGCTGAACCGGTTCTAATTTACAGCCTAGCAGTTACATCCCTTTCACCAACAGATATCATGTACTTGGAAGGGATGCTCATGCGCATTTACCGTGTCATCCAAGGTTTACCAACCAAAACGCAAAAAATGGTGACATATGTGATGTTGGGTGCACCGACATGCACAAGCCTCGTAATGAGAACCGCACTCCAATTCATAGGTTTCCTTCTGAGAGCTGCGAAGGAACACACTCTAACCAGATATATCATCACCCATGGAGCAGTCAATGCTGATCGAACCACGAGTCTTGTGCGCCAATGGGACACATTGCTCCAACATCTGAACTTACCAAGCCTCTCTATTCTGGCTAATCAAAAAATAGACCAACCGCGGACAGCATGGAACAAGTTAGCATCTGCATCAGTGGATCAAAGTATGACAAAAATCATCAGGAATACAGCAGAGAATATGACAAGTTTGTTTTGGCTTTCGCTACTGCCACAAACCGAAAAGTACGAGGCGCCGAAAACATTTTGGCCGGCAAGCAAGTACAGCGCAATTACCAGACAAGCGACACTAACCAAAATTGTCCTACTAACGGGCCACTCTTTGGTGGCCACAAGCATGGTTAGAAGGCACAAAGAAACTGTTGTCTGTCCATTGTGTCGTAATGCCATTGAAACCCTGGAACACATGCTCTTTGAATGTGACAAACTGAAAGACGATAGAGTAGCTGCTCAAAAAATATACAAAACTATCTTGAACAGAACGCTACCAGCAGCTGAACTTATCATCATCGCCGATAAGCCACAAAGCTTGATCATCCATTATATCTACCAAGCTCGTGTGCGCAAGGAACTCACTGAGAATATAACCAAGAAGAGTAACTGTTAAAGAGTCCTCCCAACTATGATGTCCTGAAAATTTATATCATCCAGACAGCTAACATAATTGGAAGACGATCAGAAATGATCCTGCATCTACTAGATGGAGTCGACGAAATAAGTCTAAGTAAGCTATGTGGTATCTCCACACTTGGAGAGTGGACTGCGTAAGACCATTGGGGTAGCATATTCACGTCTGGACAAGGACATCGAGATTAAGGTATCAGGTACTCGAGTGTGAGTAAGTGATACTGAAGGATAAGCGATCAGCTATGGACCAAGACTTCAGGCTTGTGCTTTTGCGCATTTAGTCTCACTGCGAGACAAAATGCGCAAAAGCAGAAGCCTTAATGTCTTGGTCCATGGCTGATGCCAGTTACTGCCTTGAAACATTTCATGCTTCTAGCTCAGTTACCAGTACGTTTAGGTTGTTCCTGTGTGGACTTTCCGCTGTCAGGTAGCACGCCCCGGCCGGAGCCCCCCCCCCCCACCACCACGTTCTGCTCTTGCCCTTTCCGGTACAGCCACTGGAATAGTTCATAAATTCACCCCCATGACTCCACTCACCGCTTCCCATGTTTTTCCCATGCCTTTTAAGCAAGACTCAATTATTGCGGCCTTCCGCCTAGCTCGTGACCTGACACCCCAAACAGAGGCATTACGATGGTTCTGTATTTCGACTCAAGCCGCGACAACCATGCTGTGACTCGCACTTAAAACGGCCAGTTTTGGTGGCTATCACCGGCGCCGCTACTCCAAACCACAATCACTGCACCTCGCCGCCTTCACGCAATCACTGACGCGATATATGCCTCTCTCGATCACTGTCTGGTCCATCTCACTCACGCTATATATATCAGATGGCTCGAAACGAGCGCCAACACTCGCACTGGGTGAAAGCCACTCGCTGCGAAACTAAACCACACGTGCGTGCACTGGTGGGTGCGTGGTACGGATTGGACACCATCGCACGCGGACAAACGCATACGAACGCACTCGTAAACGCTACCACACACACGAACGAACACGTCTAACGGCGCCGTATCGCCACGGCAACGAGCACCAAATATAAGAGCGGACCACAAAACCCAGCCTCTTGTCTATACCGTAAGTGATAATACGCGCAGTCGTGCACTCGGGAAAACTGCGGTCTCCCGCACAGAGCGATGAGCTGATGGCTACAGTCACAGCTCGAGCTCTCAATCAGTCGACCTCCGTCTAGCTTATGTTGAATGCTGAAGGAAAGTGGGCGACAGACGCAGCAAGGGAGACGACACAAAGCTGACTCGAGTTTAAGCGAAACCGAAATCAGGGCCGCAGCAGTCACAAACACTAACTTAAATTAAAGCAGTAACGTGAGCATCCCGTTAGTTGCCGTAGCGCGAGTTTGAAGTGAATACAAAGCTACGTAGATTTAAGTGTTACCGTCTGAATATCTACTCCCTGTCAATCGCACTGAAACACAGCCCACGGAACTGCGATCCGGGGCACATACTTCTGCTGACCGCAGCACATGGATCCTGCGCAATCCTGGACTGTCGTTTCCTATGCACAGACTCGTTTCCCCCGGACCTCCAAGGGCAGGGTCGCCGCCCCACGCCGGCCCTGGCCCGTGCACAGGTCCTAGCTGAGTTCTCGCCCGGCTAATCCTCCCCAGCCGTTAGTCCCGTCCGACGGGCGTGTGCGACGACATGCCGCACGGCGACACTGCCGGCACTGCTGCCTCTATCTCTCTGTGATCCACCCGCCGGCCGTTCAGCCGCTCCTATCTCAGCTCACCACATCACACAGGAGCCGGGTCACCACCGGAGCCGCCGACAGCCGGCCGAACGGACGGACGGCAGCCCCCACTCGCGTCCGAGACCGAGACGCGGCGCGCACCGCCCCCGCTCTAGCCAGACAGGCCGGCCCGCTGGCGACACTTCTGCATGGTAGCGCGCAGCATGAACTGGCGCCGGCTGAGCGTCCGTACCTGCTTGAGGAAGACGTCGAGATCGATGCGGTGTTGTCCCAGCGACTCGCCAAGGTGGTAGATGGCGTCCTGAGTGGCATTCTCCTCGGCAAACGTCTGCAGCAGCCTGGTGGGGCAACAACAACGGCAAACAATCAGAGAACGTAGAGGGCGCACGTGGAATGGTTGGAAGATACAGGGACAGAAGCGAGAGACCAGCAATGGGAGACAGTCGGAGCACGCAGGGAGCGCACGGGTAATGGCTGGAAGACACAGGGACAGATTAAGGGAGCGGCTAGAGGACACAGGGGGCACAGGGAACGGTTAGAAGGCACGGTGAAAGAAGAATGACGAACAACCCGCGGCTACTCGTGTGAAGAGCACTCGTCTACAATCGTGCCGAACGCGCCAAGACCGTTCGGCTCGATTCTAGAGGGGCATTGGACTGTTTGTCGACGGGCGCGAAGGGGATATGACTGATAATGTTGAGAGGAGCCGTGGGGCGCGGTGACTCACTGTTTGTAGAGGGGCGCCGTGGTGATGACCGCCTCGTCGATGTCCATCTGCTCCTCGCCCTCCATGCGCGCGATGGCGGCGTCCATCTCGGCGTTTTTCTCGCGCAGCAGACCGAGTCGCTCGTCCAGCGCCGTCTGCCGGGGAGGGGGAAGGGGAACGACGTGAGTTGACAGACGGAAGTGGACAGTTACCGTCGGGGACAGGTTACAGAACGAGACACGTGCAAACGGGATATGAAATGCATATCTCCCACTCTTATAGCCGTTAAATCCTTGACATCAAATATCTGCTGCGTATCTATGTAAAATGCGAACAGATGACTGAGAATCGATTTTTAGTCACAGAATACCGTTTAACCCTATTCCTGGCGGGGGGGCCTCAGGAGCCCCCCCTGAGGTTTTTTGGTTATTTCTCCCAAACGCTTTGAGCTAGGAAGCTCAAATTTTCTGACTGTTCCTAAAAGGCTTTTATGCAACATTTCTGAAAATTTTGAGTTGATCTGACCTCAGGTCAGGTCACCAGAGGCGGTTTGGTGACCCTACCTCAGAAAAGTTTGCAATCACGCCAGAGCTAGAGTTTTTGACCGATCAATTTCTTCTCTTCACGCTTTAGTTAGGGTACCAGTATGTGCAATTTGTATATCTCAGAATTTTCATATCTGTGACCTGAGGTCAGGCCAGACTCGTGACCTTTACATTGCAAGCCTATGGGAAAATATTGAAACGCCTCCTGCTTCGTGTAAACGAGTCAAAACCACCCAATTCTTTCAGTATTATGGAAGATTATCTCATCGGTGATGATCCTGGTGCCGCTAATTGACAGGAGCACCGGCAAAGGTCATCTGAGGTCATGTGACGTCATAAATCGTTTTTCTGTCAATAAATCACGACATGATGGTGCTAAAGACTTGTAAGTGGTACCAAACTGCTCGCCTGGTCAAGGCGCGTCGTTTGGTATGCAGCATGACCATACCCCACAACCTCATTGATGAATGACCTGGCCTTGACCTCAGGTCAAATTTCAAATTGACCTGTGAAGGTCATCACATACTTATTTCGCATCGCCTCGGCGAGAGCAACAAAAAATGTATTGGTTTTATGTCTCTATGTTTCTTAGTTTAAAAGTTATATAGGTAACTAATTCCAAAACATTTTATCGTTGATGACCTCTGGTGACCTCAATATTGACCTGACCTGAAAATGTTTTATGTAAAAGTTGTAGATCTTTAAACGACCTATCAAACGCCGTTCGCCGTTTGTCGCTGCGATGTGTAGTTTTTGAGATCTGAAGGGGGGCCGAATCGCCCCCCCCCCCCGCCAGTTTCTTGTCCCGGCGGAGCCCGCCAGGAATAGGGTTAAAGATTCACTGTCAGAACTCAGAAATATTCCTAACCAAAACAGCTGCCAGGCCCGCCACGTGGCAGCATCAGTCAGGCCTTCCCAAAAACCTCCCAATGAAAGGCGCTATGCCCCGTAACTCTCCCCTCCTCCCCTCTCCATTCTCCCCTCCGAGCCCTGTCCATCGTCACCTGTTCCTGCTCCAGCTTCTGCACCGTCTCGTCCAGCTTGGTCTTGCCCTGCTGGAGGTCGCGCTCGGTGCCGGACAGTACGTCCAGCTCCGCCTGCACCTGGGACGACAGCTCGCGCACGCGCCGGCGCACCTTGTCCTGGACGGCCGAGAGCAGCGAGGCGCGGATGTGCTCCTCGCCGATGGTGGCACTGCCGTCCGCGCTCGGCTGCGGCTGAAGAGGTTCCGGTGGAGTGAGAGGGAGACGAGCGGCCACCGGAGAGAAGGCGCATCCGGGGGAGGGGTGGGGCAGGGAACATTTTCTCTATCATGGTATAATTAAATATTGTTGTGCTTCAATTAAATCAATCACGCTGATTTCGAGTAATATTCCCATGGCGAGAGGACTGCCTATTCATTTTTAGTTTGTCATCTCCAAAAGCAGATACAGAAAAGACAAAAACACAAACCATCACATAAGCATTTCATCGTTCGATACAAAACTCAACATCAGCTCTCGCATCACCGAAAATGAAGAAACAACAAATCTACGCCACATCGGTTCAGCCTGTTGTCATCCAAGATTACTTGACATATATGTAACATTGTCACCTACCTGCGAGGGCGAGGGGTACGCCGGATAGGGCGTGTTGGCCGCGCCCGGGTAAGGCGGGTACGGCGTCGGGTACGTCGGCTGCGCCGGAGGCTGTACCGGGTACGGCATCGTCGGCTGCGTCGGGTACGGGTAGGACGGCTCCGAGCCCGGGTACCCTGTCGGGGACGGCGACGGACAGTCAGATACGGGTGTTACTGGTGAATAGTCGGCACTTGGGACCTTCAGTTCACGGACAAACTCATCAAACGATATACTTCAGGAATCAGCCTCGCTAACCAGTACCAGTCAAGAACAAAGCAACCAATTCAATTCCGTGACAAAACGTTGAAAGAGAGTAGACAAATTATCTGAAGCATTAAGCTATCAAAAAGAAAACCAAAATATCAAACACAAACCCGTTCCCGCTCTCTGCACCCACAAACAAATGTACGTCACCCGCACTACCACGCCGGCCGTAGCGACTAGCGTGTCGCGTCTCACCCTGCTGTCCTGTGTAGGCCGGGTAAGGCCGGGCATTGCGGGGCCGCGCGAACACCGGCGGCGCCTCGCTGAAGATGATCACTAGCACCTGGATGAGCCCGAGGAGGTCCGACGACGCCTGCCGGGCAGAGGGCGCATAGCAACGGATCAGAACAACGGACGCAACGGACTTATATGAACAACGGACTTATATGTGCTAGAGCAGTGTGCATGATGTCTCAAGTGCAAGCGGATGAGACGGAATGTTAGCAAAGGCTGAAGGACGGAGGTAGAATTTAAATTTTACATTTGCTCGTATTTCATCGCTCAAAATGGGGTAAAGTTCACGAAACATTGACGGATGAACCGGTCATCCATTTGCCCTTTGTAATTATCAAGTGAAATGCTGACTTCAGATCTTGTTTATGAACTTCACCCTGAAACACCGACGCCATTTCGGTGGAAACTGGCAAACACGAAAAGGCAGCACTGCTGCCCATAACATGGCATCACACGACAAAACACCAATCGTGACATCCTCGACACTTTCCTGAAGCGGGGACGGTTAACACCGGTCCAGCCAGCCGGCGACGTTAACCAAGCAGGCAGCAGCAATCCCCAGGCCAGTCACTCATTATCATCATCATTCATCATTTATTTCAACACCGGTGAGTCTGCTAGACGTGCATTACACAGACATAAAAAGTACCTGTAGTGAGTTCACCCAGGTGTCCCATCGGCTCTGGCATGGCATCTGTCCTTATCAGACAGACTGCGCTACCACCGCACCGTACAGCAGAGTAATACGGACACCAAGACAATGCACGTCACCGCGTGCGATTCGAGACCAGCGAATGGACGCTATGTGGTTCATTTGAGACAGTACCTTGTGGTAAATAGTAGTCGCTAGCCTAGCCAACTACGCTACTTGACTGAAAACAAAATCATGTTTTGTATGGTACGCATACACAGGTTCCAGGAAATCCGCTGGATCATCAAAGTCTCATCACACTTGTTCTTCGCACTTAATATTTATGAGCATATGGCTACGTATGACAGAAACAAAACAGCGTAACGTTAAAAATGTGTCGGAAAATTAAAATTTACATAAGAAAAATGTTCGAACATCCGAGCCGAGCGGCCTAACAGATACAAGGAATATGCACATGTCAAATGTCAATTGTCCGCTCTGAAAGTCTACAGTACCTGCCATGGGTACGGAATTCCTCCGAGTTCAGGGTGCCCTAGCTCTCCCAATTCTACGCCAGCTTGACTTTGGGGCCGCAACAGACGGCGCGGGTCAAGGTCACCGCTAGAGCGGCGGCGGCTTTGCTGCGCCCGGGCACCGCCAATTTAGCACCCATGGTACCTGCTGGGGGTTGAACCCCTCTAATCCAAGTTCGGAGTGCCGAAGAGAGAAGCGGCAGGCGGCATTCAAAATCTTGTAAAAACACATCGAAAGTAACTTGTTTGGTCTTATCAGGTCAAACATCAGGTCACCGAAGATACCTAATAAGGTGTCTAATTTTCTTATTCGCTATTTTCAAATTGGTTCAACGCGCAAATAACTGAACATTTTTGGTATCTATTATTTGGTTGTGCCCTTCCAGTTTTATATCACAATCAGCATATGTTACATCTAAGGTCAACGGTTTCGCCTTCGGAGAGGCTTATAGATCAAATTAAATGTTTCCATGGATTTTTTCGCATCTTCAGAAAACAAACATCAAGACCCCAAAACACACAACATTTTCGCGTCATCGATGCAATTCTCAGTGTTTAAAACTGCTCAGCAGGGTACGGATTTAGTTGACGCCCATGACATGCGTTTCCAATGACCAGTAATGCCATGATGTGGCCGTCCACTCACCGACCCTGACGTTAGGATTTCACCCATGCCTCCTTCATTCTGAAAATAACCGACAAATTACAAAATAATATAAAACAAAGCAAAAATATAGCAACTTCTTGGAGTCGAACTCTCGCTATGTAACTGGTTTTGTGTAATTCATAATTTCTGAAACGTCAGGAGCGACTTTCAAAATACAAATGAAATTTGATAGATCTAAAATAATGCCTTAATTGGGGTCTACTACTTGAAAAAAGATCCACTTTATTGGTCTTTGACGTAAAAACAAGACAATAATGCGTTATTTTCGTAGGCATTTTCGGAAATTATGATTTCAAATTCCATATAAATGAATTTTAGTCAAACAATTCCGATAAACATAACTTTCCAATGGAATTAGTTTCAGAAAGCTACCCATATGCGAAATATTAATGAGGCAGTGAACTTCTATAACAATGCATGCATTAGGTAACGTCAAAATGAGGAAAAAGACAACATGGTGCGTTAAAAGAAGCCCCAGTAGCAGAAGGATCCACAGTTTCTTAAAACTCAAATGAAGATGTATACACCAGTAAAACGCCTTTTGGGGCGACTAACGGAGCGAGCGAGAGGGTGAGCCTTGCACGTGCGAAATTTCGAGCGGGTACCTCCAACTGACTTGTGCACGGCACCCTACTGACCGGTCTCTAGCGATGTGCCAAATTTAAGCACAATCGGCCAAGCCGTTCTCGAGATCTGGGAGCGGCACCCTGCACGTGCGCACGTGCAAAATGGGTCCCAACTGACTTGTGCACGGCACCCTACTAACTGGTCCCTAACCGTGTACCAAATTTGAGCACCATCTGTCCAGCCGTTCTCGAGATCTGGAAACGACCCCTGCACGTGCGCACGTGCAGCAGCACCCCAACTCTGGCACATGGATATGCAGTGCCTAGTGGGTGCCTACCTATGTACATGCCAACTTTCAGCGCAATCAGCCAAGTAGTTACCGAGATATTGCAACAATTACAAAACAGACATCTCTTCGTTTTGCACGTGGCACGTGCATAAGGGGTCACCCACATGCATCGGGAATAGTCCAATACTTGGTAGAAGGAATGAAGCTACCCTACAAAAATTACCGCGTGTAAATCGGTCAAGTGGTTGCTGAGATATAAGCCTCGCAAAAGCGTCCGCACGGCCGGCCGGCCGGCCGCTCATACTCCTACGCTCGCTTCGCCTGCTCCGTAATAAGCTGGAAGCGCAAGCAACTACTTACACACTGAAAAGGCATCAATGTCACTTGGGACTCTTACACGCACATTCTTCTCACCAGACGCTCACATTCTCACCGGAGACCCACCATCACGCCCTATTCTCACCTGAGACCAGTCGCTGAGGTACGGCAGGTACACCTTGCCGTTGTAGTCGACGTGTTTGGAGACCTTGATCTGCATGTCGGCGGTGGGCTTGACGAACACGAGCGGAGCGACGAGCGGGTGCTGCTGCATCAGCCAGATGCATAGCGGGATGTTGTAGGTGCTGCCTGAGGTTGTAGGAGGGGGCGGCATGTCAGACGCCGCGCGAGCAGGGCCGCAGGGGACGAGGGACACGGACGGAGGGAGCAGCGTGGTCGTAAAATGCACCGTAGGAGGTATAATAGATAAACATGTCAAGGTGCTTGAAAGCCATTGTAACTGCCACTCCTAGGATTATGTGATAGAGAACAGAAAAAAGCACGTGAAAAGCATGTGGAAAATAAGCATTACAAATCAGTACACTAGTTAATCGTAAATCCGGAATGTGTCAATATGATCAATATCATTTTATAAAAAGTACTACTTTCTAGCGGCAAAATACTCTTCAGACTTTCGACTGTTTGATGCAGGTGATCAGTGGTGTCTCTGTAGGTAGTAGGTACCTTTGTATTGGACTGGAATGGTGCCCTCCAGACAGCAGAGCTCTTGGCGAGTCCCATCATCAAATACTGGAAATACAAACAAAACACAACATATTGAAGTCAGAACGTGACTAAAAACTACACTTCTATGATGTGGCTGAATATGTCGGCAGGATGTAACGTTTTGCAAATCTATTACCAGTTGCTGATGGACAGCTCTCGATGCAGATGTCCACGGCTAAGGTCAAGCTAAAGCGGAAACATTTCGGTGACGCCACGGATCCACCACGTGAGGATACCTTGGCCGCTTTCGTTTCACCGGTAAAATTTAAAACAAATTTAACCCTGCATAATCAAAAGCTGGCACTGTCCTCCTGGATTTAGGGCCATCCTCTATCAACAGTTACCAGATGGCTAGATAGCAACAATGGGCCAAACGATGTGCTGCACTATACGATCTCACACTCACTACGTCCAAGTGGTAGGCCAAGTGAGGAGCAAGAGACGACCATGCCATTTCAATACTAAAACAATGCCTCATTCTGACAATTAAAAAAGAGCAATAGATTAGCCGGCACCTCAGCCAACTTCGACATAACTAGGTGGGGGTGGCGGTGGGGTATTACGCTAATGCCAAGTAATTTAAAAGCTAAGAAAGCCAGAAAGATGTGAAAAAGCAATTGACAGCTCTCAAAACGTTCAGAAGATAAAGATACTTTTCGGCATTGGATCGAGCCAATGCCGAGGTCACTGGATATGAAGAACTGAAAAAAAATTCAAGTACAATTTTCTCGATTTTAGCATTATGTTCTTAAATCAGCGTGCTTCATTGTGAACCAAAATATCAATTGCCGCAAAAAGACGCTTTGAAGCTCTTTGGCTACAATGTTTCTGATCACTGTACCAGGCATCCATAAATAAATATTGTTGAAAAACTGCTAGTGACCATTCATGACCTAACACGACTTTACAAGTGACCAATGACCATCAGCTGCACTCTGCCCAATGCATATGGGCAGAAAACATGTTTTGATTCTGAAAAGATATTGCAGCTTTGATGTGTGCAGCTTTGATGTGTTTGTACTTTGTTTAAAGCAGAGAATTTGTACTTTTCCACCATTGCATTATAATGGTGAGGTAACAAAGATGACCTGATCCCAGGTCACAGACGAAAAATCTGAGATAGACGAATTCTTGGCACTGATATTCTCATACCTCATGCGACCCAGTTTCTAGCTTATAACGGATAAGCTGTAGAAATGACTGAATCACTAAGTTTTTTAGAGGCATGGTTACTTAGCTTGACCTGGTGAGCTGACCTGGTGAGCCAATAAAAATATTGGCCTGGGGCCAATATTTTTACAAATGGTGCGAAATTGATGCATGACAAGCTATGCGAAGCTCAGCAGCACTGAGAGGGGCATTATCTCCACACACAAATAAAACTAGTGTGGCTCAATACGCCCTCTCCCCATCCCCTGCCAAGGCAGAGGCTAAGCACTGCAAATGCATAGCATGCATGAATGTGATAAAAAAACATCAAACCAAAGACATCACTTACCAACAAATATGACAAAATACCTACACTAAAAAAACAACATCTAATGAATCAACTACAGTATAGAAGCAGGTGTCTGGATTGGCTCAGATCAGTTATCACACAATAAAGGTCAATGGGTTAAGCTCACCAAATGGACTCAGCTTTGCTTGTAGACCACGATAGTGGCGCAATGCATTCATAACATCACCATTCGTTGTAACCGGATTCTTGTACTGAAAAAAAAAACAATAAGCTTCATATAAGCAGATTTTACAAGCACTCAGTAATCAGTATTGCATATCAATGGCAAGGTTCCACTTTGCCATATGATTAAGTTCCTTCACTTTGTAAAATAATGTCAGAGAGCCAATTAAATGCTTTTACATGACTGAATATGAAGAAACTAACTTAGTTGCATTAATACATGAAGTCAGGTTTTCATTTGATTCAATAAATTGAGACCAGCCAATCTTTTTAACAATCAGCAATGATAATTTATATGATAATGAAAGGCATTGTAAAGAGCTGCTTTCAATATTCTTCAGACAAGAAAGAACACACTATTTACTGAAAATATACAGATCAAACAGGTACATACCTTTGTTAGATATTGTTTTATCTGTGATTCTCTTGGTTGAGGCATGGTTGGTCTTCTTTAGTTTAACACAGCATCTAAAACTGTTGGTATATATGTTTTATGTACAGATATCACCCACTAGCCAGTGCCTGATCCTAGAAGTGGCAGTGCTAATGTGCTAGGCCTGTGTAAATTTGGAGAGCTAAGTAAGCTTGGAAACCAGGGCTTTAGCAATATTTGCCAGATTCCTGAGGGCAAAAAAGGCATATACAAAACAGTGAAGTGAGAGAATACACTGTATGCATGCACACACATGGCACAAGGGACTGACACAGCAACAAACACAAGCAATCAAGCAAGTCAAAAAAAGAGCTTGCAAAATCGAGCAGCTGGCAAATGTGACTGTGAGGACTGAGGCGGGAGGCCCCCTTGTGCCGGCAGCGAAAGTTTGTTGTACCACGAGCCAAACCCGAGCGGTATTTAAGTCCAATTCGCCTGTATTCATCTCATAGGTCTAATGAACAGGATGTGATCCCCAGGTAGGTGTCTGGATTACTTTTGAAATGCACTGTTCTTAATTCTTTAATTTTTGTGATGCTTTTTACTTCTACAATCTACATCAACCTGTGGTGCCACCATAGTACAGGAGCCCATGTATGGCCTTTTTACCAGTCGATGACTGTCACATCGTCTAATGAACCTTTATGTATGTATGTATGGCACTGGCAACAAATTTATCAAATATGTCTTTAAAATTGCTCTACATACTAAGAACTGAGATAGGTGGGTATGGTACTTCCCTACGTGATTCCAGTTTATGAAAGAACAAAAAATGTCCAGAAATGTATTGGTAATTGGTACCATAGCAATCGGGAACCAGCCCTTAATCAGCTATCAGTTTCTGAAGATAGAAGGGTATTAGGTTAGGTTGTAGGGTTGTAGGTTTTAGGTTTTAGGTTGTAGGTTTGTAGGTTAGGTTAGGTTAGGTTGTAATAGAAGTAGGGGTGTGTATCAAAATAGTAAATAATCCTTAAAGAATCATTCCACTCTGCAGTTGATTGGTTGACAAGAGTCAAGAGTCATGACAAGTAATGCGACAAACAGACAAACTACAATAGACGCGTTTACATAGGGTTTGTCGCAAGCTTATATCTCCGTCAGTGATGTTGCAAAAGATGCCAATACTGCTTAAAAATTACAAAATGATCCCCTCGAAATATTTGAAGACCACTGCATCGAAAATATCGCCAAATAAACTACCTAGAGCGGGAGCCTCGTCAAAAGTGCCAAAATGCTATCAGTGTTGCCGCGGCCAGATTTTACAGGGTGGGACCAAGGCTATAGAACTCCAGGTAAGGACACCAGCCGTTTGACCTTGAACGCCGCCGGCCGGCCGATGACGTCATTGGAGGCAAGCCGGCTCGGCGGACACACAAGGCGAATACATAACGGAGGGGCGTTGGAACGTTGCGGGAGCCGGGGAGATATTTTAATGTGGTTGTATACCACCATTGTTATGTTTATTGATCTACAGACTGCATTCTTTTAAGCCTCGATACACTCTAGGCCTGGATGGTTCGTACATTCGTGGACCGATCACCCCGTCCGAAGTTCGTGGTCGAAGCTGTCATAGACGGGTGACGTCTTGCACACTAAGACGGGTGCAATAACGGCGATCCGATCCCGTCTCTGGCGAATCTAGAGGGGTCGTAAGGACCCAGGCCGAATCTGACCGTCTATTTTTAGGGAAACGGGGTGGGTGAATTGACAACCGATGGCTTAAGAGATAATGAGAAGAGATCCCGTCGTCGATTGTTGTTTGACAGACAACACATGTTGTACAGTGTACTGGACGTATGACCATCAGAGGTAATGCCTGAACGTAGGCAAGCATAATTGTTCTGTCATACTGTTTAGGAATATAAAATGGTAATGGAGATTATTGAGGATATGATCTCTAAATTACAGGAATTCGCTAATTACTACGGCCCTTAGGGGCACCGCCGGAGCTGTTGTTTTGCCATCGGTCCCAGGCAACTCCAGGGAGCTGCAGTACCCGGCGGCCAAAGCGGCCCACCTCGTCGACTCGCAGGTCCTGTGGGATTCCGTGATGCTTTAGTGCTTCACCCACAGAAGCACGGGCATAGCAGTAGGATGTGGGGCTAGCTGTCTGTCCACCTCTTCATTGAAAGAACAACGTATACAGCGCCTGGTCCCGCCGAAGCTCGGTATCGACCGTGACTTATTCACAACTGGCGGATCCAGGAAGCGGTCTTGGACACTGCGGGGGCTTACCGCAAAAAGGTTTCTCGGAATTAATTTAAAAAAAACGCTGATTTCGATTCCTTGCGCACTGCTGTGCAGTGTGATTAACCAACATTTCCTCAGAAAAGTTGTGAAGTTTTCTTTGATTCTCGAAAAGCGATTTCGGGCGCTGCCAATGTGGGGGAAGACATTTGCCCCAAATGCCTTCCCCTGGATCCGCCAGTAGGTTGCCCCACTCCGAGCTTGACTAAAACCATTTTCAAACCCCACCAGAAACCGATGGTAAGGTGAATTTAAATCCAATAACTCATCTCTGTCTGCCCGCCTAAATATGTATACAACACATGGTACGGCACCCGGCCCTGTCTGAGCTATGAGCCGATCGCGATATTTTCGGCTTTCCCCAACCCAAGCTCGATTAGGAACGTTCTCATTCCCCACCTGATTGCTGATGTCAATTCAAATTCAATACCTCATCTCTGTCGGCCCGACCATAACCCATTCATTGCACACCGTTCAGCGCCCCGCCCCGCCAGAAGTATCCTAGCGCGCTGAGCAGTTGCCTCCAGCCGCGTCATCGCGAGGCCCCGCGCGGCCCATAAATTAATACATTGCGCGAATAGCCGTGTCGCCCCCCTGGGTGGGACTAAATGCTTACTTCGAAATCTAAGCTACGTTGCGGCATTGGCGGTTATGTGCGGCGTGTATGCCGCATGATTAGTAAGAGGCGACCACTAAATTAAAGACTCAAACGCTCCGACCGGTTCTCAATGAATAACACTGCATACCAAAAATGCCAACCGCTCTCGTCATAAGATATTCAGCTTTAAATAACTAGGTTATCTACATCATCATTTTGAACCAAATTAATACTTTCAACTTAACTCACTCATTCCTTGCTTTGTTGTCTCCAAACAGTCGTTCGATTGTCTGGAAATCGTATGCTAAATCCCGTACCTGTATGCGACTGGTGCATATAAAGGCCGATAAAAGAATTTGAATAGGCTCTGGCATGCGATTTCCTGGCTACCCAAAAAAGTCTGTTTCAGTCTTGCTATCAAAACATGACCTCGCCCGCACAGGGGGGGGGGGGTTGATGCAACCCCCCTAAGGTTTTTCGCGAATAACTCGCTTAAAAAGCGGCTGATCGCGACGAAACTTTCAGTACCCTCGCATTGATCAATTTAACACCCATCCTGAAAATTTCATGACCCTGACCCAAATGACCTTTGACCTGTGACCTACTTTTCGAGACCATGTTTGGCCGGAACCGCGATTCAGCGTATGTCGGCTCGCATTAGCAGCGCGTTTGCAGTCTTTTCGTGGTTTCAAGCGTTCAAACATGTGATATGATGTTGCCCCCATGCATTAGGGTGGGTGTCAAGGTCACCTGAAGGTCAGGTCAGGTCATTGACCTTTGGTGACCTCGGTTCACTTTTTCGAGTTTGACATGTTTCTAGGTCAGTTTTTTTCGAGCTGAATTCGAATTAAAGGAAGGGTGCCACCTTTTGGATGTTAGGTGCCCAACTCTATTGATCTAGTCTTCCTCCGAAAGACCCATTTCTCCCGGTCTCGAAACACCGAGTAAAAGGTAAGTCTGGATTTCAGAAATAGGTCATTGACACGCCACACGTGGTACACAGCCCGAATACATACTCAAGGCCACCCCACGCTACTTGCACCAAGGTCGGTCCTAAACAAAGCCTCGTTCCCTCCGGTGAGTATCCATTACTAAAGCCGGGTTCACACCGGAGCAGGGAAAACCTATCATCCCCCACCCCTTTTAACAACGGTCCTCGGGGCAGTCAGACGATCACATTCGCCCTTGCCGTCAGCAAACGAGGTAACACATAACCAATCACCACAGACACCCCCAAGTCAGATTACATATAACGACAATTTCTCTGTACCGGACGTCCCGACCGGGTTCGCTGAGGCAAGAAGGCCAAGGGAGAATCACGGCCGTTCGTCAGACGGGGATCCGGTCCACCTCTACCGTCTCGAACTTCATTGTCTTCGCGACATTCGTCGGCGAACTCGTCAATCTCGTCGACGGACTCGTCGACCTCGTCGATGTTGAGCCAGTCCTCACCGGGCTCTTGAGCGAGGTCTCCATCAGAGTCACAGGTGAGTGCGTCCTGACGCTCACTGATCTCAGCCGATCCTCGCCACGGGCGGAGATGACAGCCGTGAATGGTGTAGGCTTTTCCCTCACGTTGTATGACGTAGTCCGGACGCCGGGTCTCCAAGACCTCGTAAGGCCCTTCGTATAACTCCTCCAGTTTTCCCCCTTTTCGAAGCCGCTTCATCATCACCATTGACCCCGGCTCGAAACCGCTTCCTGAGGGAGGTACCCGACGGCCGTCCAGGTCCCGCTGTAGTGTTTCCAGCGCTCGAGCTGAATTTTTCTGTACATCACGGTGGATGTCTCGGGCTACCTGCACGTACGACCTGAAACGATGGCCCTCCTCCGCGCCTGCTCCTTGGAGTTCATGCACCGCCATCCCGTCCGGCTGCGACCCAAACATCAGCTCGTAGGGTGTGAACCCCGTCGCAGCGTGTACGGAGCTGTTGTACGCAGATGCTGCCCACGGGAGCGCCTCGTCCCATTGTCCATCGCAACGTGTCCTCAAGATTTCGCACAGAGTGGCGTTAAAGCGTTCCGTTTGCCCGTTCCCAGCTAGGTGATAAGGCGTCGTCCTCAGCTTTGTCACTCCCAGCACGCGGCACAACTCTCACGAGCTCACTCTCAAAATTGGCTCCTTGGTCCGTTAGAAGCTCGCTGCACTGAGGGAATCTTGTGAAGACCTTCGCGATCTTCCTCGCCACTGTAGCGGCTGTGGTGTCCGTGAGTGCGAAGATTTCCACCCACTTGGTGAAAAGGTCAGTGACTACAAGCACGTACCTCCTTCCCCGAATGGTTGTGTTCAAAGGGCCCAAGATGTCTGCCCCCCACTGAGATCCGGGTTTTCCGACCACTGGTACAGAACCACGGCCTTCACAGTGGTGTTGTCGCTCGATCTTGTTACGAGCACACTTCAAACAGCTTCTGCACCAGTTCCGAACATCCTTCTTGACATTGTGCCAATAGTAGTTCTTCGTGAGCCGCGCCAATGTTCGTCGAACTCCCAAGTGTCCCGCGGTAGGGTGGTCATGGCACATCTCCAGTACACGATTTCTCAGCTGCCTCGGCACCACAACCTGCGGCACCGCGCCATGACTCGATTTCCTCATCACGACACCATCAGATACGTAGTACTTGGACTTCTCCGACGCATAGAACTGCATCTCTGCACTGGAGGTCGTTCCAGGGCCTCCACGTAGCAGCCCATCTCTGAAAGCACGTATGTCGTCATCTGCTTCGATAGCAACCTTCAGCGCGTCAGACTCAAACGCCAGTCTTCTTATCGGCTTTCGTGAGAGCGCATCTGCATGGGGAATTTCTTGCCCCGGTCGGTACTTGATGTCGAAGTCGTAGTCCTCCGCGAGTTCCAGCAACTTGTCCCGCAGATGTTCCGCCGCGTTCCTCTTCCTGAGCAGATACTGAAGCGGCTTATGGTCGGACACCACCAGGAAGTGGGCTCCCTTCAAGAAGAACCTGAATTTCTTCACGCCAAAGATCACCGCGGCCAACTCCTTCTCCGTCACGCTCTTCTTGGCTTCGGCCACACTCCATCTCTTCGATGCATACGCCACCGGCTTCCCATCATTCTCCAAGACGACTCCGCACCCCACGTCTGAGGCGTCCGTTGTCACCACAAACGGTTTGGTAGGGTCTGCCTCCGCGAGGACGGGTG